AGGTACAACAGTGCCCGGGTAACGGAGAAAGGACCGGCCTAAGTTCCCACGGAGTGAGAGAAGAGAACCCCAATTTACCCACAGGTACCACAGACCGGGAGAAGCAGCTGTGAGAGCGGTACATCCCTCCTTGGGGGCTTAGAGACTTGTCACCTTCCAGGCCATGCATGACCTCGGATCTCCCCACCTTCCTCGGCCTAGGGCTGAGGCGCGGCTGGGGGCCTCAGTTTCCCCGTCTGCAAAATGGGGCCGTGAGTATATGGTCGTAGAGGGAGAGGCTTGGTCCCATCGCCTACGCTCAGATAACTCTCGCCTTCCAGCCCACAACTACCCGGCTGGCTCGCTAGCCCCGCAGAGTCCTCACGCTCCCGACCCCTCGCGTGCAACGCTTACTTGCTCTCCCACGCGGCAGTCGAGGACAGTAGGCACTGCACCCGCAGCCGGCCCGCCCACAGCAACCGCACGGCCATGTTCCCGATCTGGGCTGACGGAGGCAGCGCACGCGCACTTGCTGCGAGTGAAGAGACGCTCCCGCTTAAAAACCAGCCTTTGCGGGCGTTTCCTTCTAAGGGCTTCCGGACTAGAACGCTACACTTCCGGTTGCCCTGTGGCCCGCGCCGTTCCCCATCCGGTGGTCCGGAGCGAACCCGACGCTTTCGGCTCTCAGTGTGTTCCGCTAGTAGGCGAGGTCATAGTAGTTACTACAAAGGCTCCGTGTTGGGCGCACGGCAGATCATAGCTGTGCCCGCATGGAGCTTACTTGATGTTATGAGTGATAAACAGGTACAAGCGGGATGTAAAGTCAGAACGTCGGCGGTGTTTCAAGGTGAGGGGCAGGTGCTGCGGGAGCCTAGAATACAAATCTAGCCATGGGAAGTTTTCCCAGAGGAAGGGGTATTTGAGCTGAGCTGAAGGAAGGGTTCAGGCAGAGGGAACTATCTGCAGAAAGCCTAGTAAAGAGAGAAGAGTATTGCACGTAAGGGACTGAAATATACAGAGGCGGGAGGGAAACAGGACTCGTGGTTAGGCAGGGCTAGATCCTACGTGAGCGGTTTAAAACTTTGCAGCCTGAACCATTGCCCATCACTCCTCCCAGACTTTTTCCTCTAATGTCCTTCTTATCGACTTGTTTTTTAAATGGTGTGTATTTTCTCATTTCTTCTCATTAAAATATAAGCTCTTTTAGGGTAGAGATATTGTCTGTTCATTCCCATTCATTGAGCAGTGTCCTAAGGTGTTCAAAATTATTATTTTTGAGATAGAGTCTTAGTCTGTCATCCAGGCTGGCGTCAGTGGCAAGATCTCGGCGGCTTACTGCAACCTCCGCCTCCCAGGTTCAAGTGATGCTCCTGCCTCAGCCTCCTAACTGGGATTACAGGTGCCCACCACCACGCCTGGCTATTTTGTATTTTTAGTAGCGACGGTGTTTCACCATGTTGGTCAGGCTGGCATTGAATTCCCGACCTCAGGTGATCCGCCAGCCTCAGCCTTCCAAAGTGCTGGGATTGCAGGCATGAGCCACCGCCCCTAGCCTCAATTTTTTTTTTTTTTTTTTTTTTTCCTGAATGCAATTTAGTCTGATTCTGATTGCAATGGAATGTGAAAATAAATAAAATGTAAAAGCTGTTGGAACTTCCCAAATACTTTAAGCTTTGAGAGAGATGTAGTTGTGGTCTGAATCCATGTAGCATGTTTTGTAATTCTGCTTCTTAGAATTATAGCTTAATTCTCTTCCTCATTGTTCTTGTTCTATAATGACTAGGAAAGAGCAGAGACCAGATTTCTCCCCTCTCAATCACTGATGTTTGTAATAGATGGCCTCCTGTATTGTCCTGTACCTAACTGAGACCAAATGGTGCACTGAACAGGGACCCCAAGACAGTTACATTTTCAGGGTGTAATGTGAAATACACCTTTCTTGAAGGAAAAAGACCATCTTAACTACTCAGTTCATTGAAATTATGCATTAAGCATTGCATAGGAAGATGTTGAAATTGTTGAACCTAACAGACTTCTACAGTTTGGAACACTGATTTTCATCCTGTATAAGACAAGACACATTCTTCCCTTCTGGGCTTCCTGGGCAGGCCATCCTCAACCTTTGTGTTTGAATGAACTCTCTTTAAATGAGATCCTGACCTTTTAAATTATTTTAGATTGACAGGGAACATGTGACAAATGCTGTGTTTAAAGAGTCACTTTTGCTGTGTGGAGCAGATTGCAAGGTGTAAGAAAAAAGTTAGGGCAGCCAGTGTGTTCCAGTAGCCCAGGCAAGACAGGGCTGTGTTCTCTCCTGGGAGAACAGAGAGAGACCTTCCTAACCACTCGAAAGTAACTGTGTCCAGCACTATTTTGTGTCTTAGTATTTTATTTCTTTTGCTTCCTTGTTAAAGATTATTCCCTCAACTAGAATGTGAGCTTCTTGAGGTATCTGTCTTACCACTGATTTCTGGTATCTAGTATAGTAGGTACTCAATAAATATTTGTTGAATACGTTGGATCATATCAGTGAATATAGGAAGATATGGATGAATTTTAGAGATTTAGGATGAAAAGCTGACAGACTTGCAAGGAGGGATTGGTGATTGGGGTCCACGGCACTTGGAGTTGTCAGCTTAGTTAATAGATAGTCTCTAATTTTTTTTTTTTTTAAAGGAATGAGAAGTGTTCCTTGAGTATTCTGAATCTTGTCGTAACATGGGTTATGCGTTTATTGTACTGCAGTTATTTGGGTCATATTTTCTTTTCTGTGTGTCTGTGAGTTTCATGAAGACAGAGCTGGAGTATTTTCATCTTTTTCTCTAATCTGATGCCCAACTCAAATGTGTCATGACCAGTAACTTATATTTTATTTTTGGCCTTATGAAAAAGGTGACATGGTTTAGGGAGGTATTATGATTCTCTTTTACGTATGAGAAAATTGAGGCTCAGAAAGGTCGGTAAACCTGTGCAGGATCCTCGAATAAGGAGACAGTTACAGTAGAATTCTGATGGACTAGACACTTGGCAGTGTTGGGAAGGATGGAGCTTCAAGTCTACCTTAGACCTGTGGCTCACACTTTGGAAAAGCACAACCAAACAAGGGTTTTTTTTTTTTTTTTTTTTTTTTTTTTTTTTTTTTTTTGATGGAGTCTTGCTGTTGCTCAGGGTGGAGTGCAGTGGTACAGTCTTGGCTGATTGCAACTTCCGCCTCCTGGGTCCAAGAGATTTTCCTGCCTCAGCCTCCTGAGTAGCTGGGATTACATGCATGTGCCACCATGCCCAGCTAATTTTTGTATTTTTGGTAGACATGGGGTTTTGCCATGTTGGCCAGGCTGGTCTCGAACTCCTGCCTCAAGTGATCCACCCACTTTGGCCATCCAAAATGCTGGGGTTGCAGGCATGAGCCACTGTACCTGGCCTTTTTTTTTTTTTCTTTTTTTGAGGCATTTTAACAACCAAGAACAAGAATTGGCATCTGCGCCTTAGCCATTTTGCTTACATTTCTCCTAGCTGCCCAACGTTCACCAGGTTGCTGCTTGCATCCATGCATTCACTCATCTATTTATTAAGTGCTAGTGTACTTCTGAATGTTGCAGTACAGGGGGAGGGAGATATATGGATGACACAGAGCTTTAAGAGTAATGGTTCTAAGGTCAGACTTCTTATACTCATGTGCTGGTTCCACCACTTCGTATGTGAGCTTGGGCAAATTACCTATCTGGGCTTCCGTTTCCTGAACTGTGAAAACTAGGATAATATAACTTATCTCAGGGTTTCAGTGAAGACTAAAGGGATCGTGCCTGGAAGAGTGGCGAGTTAGCACCAGGACTGGCTACATAATTTAGAGGGCAAAAGGAAAAGCAGAACCCCATGTTTAAATATTATTAAGGCAATAATAGAGCATTAAACTAAGCACAGGGCCCTTTTAAGCATGGGGTCCTGCGTGACTGTACAGGTTGCCTGCCTGTGAAGTTGGCCATGGCTGACACAGTGCCTGACATGTGGTGAGTGCTTGATAAATGTTAATTACTAATTACCCACAGCCACTCCTCTCAGAGTCCAAGATCTGTTGGTGAGAAAAGACACTTAACCCCAAAGTAACTGCATAAGAAAGAGTATGACAGACACTGAAGACACAGTTGGAGTGTTGGGTGACATTCCAGGCTCCACACTTTAAAAAAAACACGGAAAATCCAGAGTATGTGAGCCCCTTTCACTGTGAAAACACAGGTGGAATTTGGATGAAAACTCTCTGTTATGTATTGGTTACTTTTTAGCTTTTGGTGGCTGTAATTATCACGTAAAAGTAATTTCTTCAGTGGGAAGAACACAGGCTTGTGAGTCAGACATTTCTCATATAGCTAATAATAACAGCCACTTTTTTTTTTTTTTTTTTTTTTTTTTTAATAGATGGGGTCTTGCTATTTGCTTAGGCTGGAGTGCAGTGGCGATTCACAGGGATGATCATAGTGCACTACAGTCTCAAACTTCTGGGCTCAAGTGGTCCCCCTGCCTCAGCCTCCTGAGTAGCTGGGACTACAGGCGTGTACCACGGTGCCTGGCTAGTGAGAGCCACTACTGACTAAGCATTTCCTATTTCTCAGACACTCTGCAAGATGCCTACTATGTATTATCTTATTAAATCTTCCCAAAAATCTTGGGAGAAAGTACAATTGTTAACCCCATTTCACAGATAAGGGAAACAAGAATCGGAGCAGTCAAGTGCCTTTCCCAAGGTCACCCAGCTGGTTATCGGAGGCAGGGCTCAAACCTACCCCTATCTGGATCTGGGCTTATAACCCTTAAGTCCTATGCTCTGCCACTAATCAGTGAGTGATCACTGGGTCAGGTGATTTTTCCTGCTGTGGTCTCCAGCTACTTCAGAGGATGATAAAGTTTGGGCAAGGCTAAAGTCGGTAAAACCTTAAGTGGGTTAAAATATGTAAACTCTATAGCAAGGTGTCCAAGTTTATTCTGAGATTTTCCTTCTTTCTTCTTGAGCTAAGCTCTGGCTTTTCAGTGGTTATATCTTTTTTGGAAGGAAATGTGTTAAAGACAGACCCAGAAAGTACCTAGAGTTAAGACAGTAGTGAGTAGCACAGTAAGGAGACTGCCCAGGACTTGAGGTCCATATTCCCCTTATAAAAGTATCAAGTGTTTATAAAAGGTTTAGCACCCATGTGAGAGAAATAAGCCATCATCCTCTTAATTTCTCTTGGTTTTACTTAATATATAGAAGGGCAGACTAGCGGGCCTCTGAGTGCAAGGTGAGGACTTCATTAGAATAAAGACACATTGCCTCTTGGATTTCTAACCCATAGCCCCAAGAGCCTCAACATCATAGAAGTTAGGTAAGGGACCTGATTGAAAGACCCTGCCCTACAACATCCTGTGGACATTAGAGCTATGTGCTCCTGTCACTGAGTATCACTGTGAGCTTAAAATATGTCAGCTGCTCCATTTTTCATTCCTTTTGAATATTCAGAGCTCTAATTTTAAAACACTCAAATCTGAAAGATTCCAGTAGCTGCACTCTGTGTAAAGCAAATGAGGAATCACTGTAGAATCTGCATGTCCTCTATAGCTTTTGTTCACATGTATGCAGGTAGGGATAATGATTATCGATTGTTCAACCTCTTTGCCTTGCCCAGGGGTTGTCAGTAATGCCCAATATGAATCCAGTTGTCCCAAGTGTGATCGGATGATCAGGCCTTGTCTCTTTCACTGCACCACCAATGCTTGAGTGCTGCCTCCCTTTGCCTTAAGGACTGGGAGTATGACACTGTGAATGGGAATGGAAAGGGGTTATTCACATGTACTTTTCATTTCTTCTTCAGAAGGGAAGGCCAAGACACTACAAAACCCTTAGGCTGTGCAGACATCTGTCCCTCTCCATCTTCATTTCCACCCTTTCAAAGTCATAAGGATGCTCTCAATTTCCCTCTTCCCTTCTACTTCTTCCCTCCCCATATTCCCTAAAATCATGCAGACAATAAAGGCTGGTTTTTTGGGTGCCCTGGAGAATGAAGGCTACTTCCTAGTCTTCTCTTGGTGTCTCCTTGTGAAAAAAGCATTTCTTCCTCAGGTGGACGAGCTGATATTTCCTTTGGAATGAAATCCTTATCCTCTTCCTAGGTCTTCTTCATTTCCCATTCCTGAAGCACAGAAAGACAAGACAAATCAATTTGTTGGATGGTCTAGTGTGAGATGGATAAAGACACCGCGCGGCACCTAGTTAGATGAAGATCTCCACTGTCCAGGTTGCACTGGGTTCTAGCCCCTTCTCTCTCTTTCTGTGGCCCTCAGTAAGTCACTTCTCCATGTTGGTCTTTCTTGTCCCTTCATCCATTCTCAACATAGTTGCCTGAATGGTCTTTAAAAAATGTAATTCATATTCAAAACCCTTTGCTCAAAAGCTTCCATCATGTCACAACAAGACTCATTATGTTAGAACAAGTTCTGTGGTTCCTCAGTGGCCCATAAGGCTTTAGATAAAAGGCTGGTAAATGAGAGTCTGTGGGCCAAGTCTGGCCTATTGCCTGTTCTCATATCATCCATCAGCTAAGAATGATTTTCTTATTTCTAAAAGTTTGAAAAAAAAATCCAAAGAAGATGACTATCTCATGACACATGAAAATTATATGAAATTCAAATTTTAGTGTCTGTAAATTTTTATTGAGACACAGCCGTTTTCATCATCATTTACATATTGTTGATGGCTATTTTCATGCCACATTGGCAGAATTGAGAGGTTATGGAACAGATCATATGGTTCAGAAAGCCTAAAATATTTACTCTCTAGCCCTTTACAGAATAAGTTTGCTGACTGCTGGTCTAGATGATCTGGCCCTTCACTGGTTACTTCTCTGATCTCAGCTCCTAATGCTCACCCTTTTTTCCCTTCACTGGAATCATCTAGATCTTCTTGATGTTCCGCAAATATATCAAGCTTTTTCTCACTTCAGGGACTTCACACTTGCTCTTCTCTCTGCCTGGATCATCCTTCCCTTAGCCTCATGCATGGGTCTCTACCTCACACTCTATTCAGGTCTCTGCTTTTGTGTTACCTTCTCTAAAAGGTCTTCGCTGTCACTGTGCTTAAATCCCTTTGGAAGGTTCATCTTCTCTGGCATCACATTTTTTATTTAGGTGTGGTATTTAAAGTCTTGTCTTCCCAACTCTATGTGACCAGGGACATTTTTGGGTTCCCTGTTATGTAACCAGAAACTAGAATAAGACTGGCATATGGTAGGTCTTCAATAAATATTTGAATGACTGACTAACTGTTGGAAAGAATAAAGTCTCTTCCCTCTCAGGCTCTGAAAGTCAATTCCAACTTGAGGATACAGCTCCAACCTAGACATAGAGCCATGCTTTATATTTTATTTGTTTTTTGAGACAGGGCATCACTTAGTGTCATCTAGGCTGGAGTGCAGCAGTGTGATCAGGTCTCACTGCAGCCTCACCCCTCTTCCTGGGCTCAAGGGATCCTCCCACCTCAGCTTCCAGAGTAGCTGGGACTACAGGCATGTGCCATCACACCCGGCTAATTTTTTTGTATTTTTGTAGACACAAGGTTTCACCGTGTTGCCCAGGCTGATCTTGAATTCCTGGAGCGATCCTCCCACCCTGGTCTCCCAAAGTGCTAGGATTACAAGTGTGAGCCACTGTGCCTGGCCAAGCCATGCATTTTAAAAGTCTGTGCTGGTGTGATCCTAGATAAAATTCTGCTAATTCCCGAAGCAGTGTTGATATGAAGCTAATAAACAGCTGCTTTTTAAATGTATTCTGATATGATATGCAATTTCAGGCCATAAATGATCAGGCGCTGCCTGCCTCAATGGGGAATTCCATGCTCACTCTCCCTCTCTGTGCTCCAGCTGCCCTGGCCTCCACCTGGCCATCAGGCACACTCGACAGCTTTTGGACCTGCTGTCTCTTGCTGGAAAGCTTCTGCTCTAGATCTTCTCATGATGGTCCTTCTCATCATTTGGGTCACTGCTAGGAGAGGCCCTTTCTGACCACTATGTATATTGCTCCAACCCTGCCCCTAGTCTCTGTCCCTTTCCATACACACACACACACACACACACACATATATATATATATATATATATATACACACACACACACATTACACACATACACACACACACACACACACACACATATATATATATATACACACACACACACACACATACACACACACACACACACATATATATATATATACACACACACACACATTACACACATACACACACACACACACACACACACACACACACATATTTTGTAGATGTATCACTTTCTGGAATTATCTTCCTGTATCAACAGGATGCTTATGTATTATCTGATCCCTTTCACTGGCTTGGAAGTTCCTTGAAAACCAGACCTTGTCTGTCTTGTTCACTGGTTTATTCTACCTCTTAAACTTCAGTCTCTTCTGCTGTGAAATGGGGCCAAGAATGCCCACTTTACTTGGTTATTGCAAAGATGGAATGAAGGAACATGTTCAAAGTGTTTAGCGAAGTGCCAAGCATTTAGCAGGTGCTTAATATATGTTTCTTGAATGAATGGAGTTTTCCATTGCTTTAAACAGGATGTTCTCCTTTTCATTATTTTACTAATTTTTAACTTTTATTGTTTGTTTTGATTTGACTTACTGTGAAATGATTATCACAGTCAACTTTAGTTAACACCCGGTTATCATTTATGTGTGTGTGTGCGTGTGTGTGTGTGGTGAGAACATTTAAAAGCTACTTTTTAAAGCAAATTTTGAGTATACAATATGGTATTGTTAACTGTAGTCACAATACTGCATAGTAAATTCCCCGAACTTAGTCATCTTAAAACTGAAACTTTGTATCCTTTGACCAACATCTCCCCAATTCCCCCAGCCCTCAGCCTCTAGCAACCACCATTCGATTTAATTTTAAATTAAATTAAATTTAAATTTTAAATTAATATAGAATTTTATATTTTCATATTTAAAAAAGAGATTGTTCCTTGAAAAGTCATCAGTTTCCACATTTCTTAGCTTAGGATTTCTTAGCTCAGGTTTTTCTATATCACACTATCTTTCCAGTCTCTTCTCCTACCAATTTTTCTTTTTCTTTTTTTTTAAAATAAAGACGGGGTTTCACCATGTTGGTCAGGCTGGTCTTGAACTCCCGATCTCAGGTGATCCACCTGCCTTGGCCTCCAAAGTGCAGGCCATCTCCTACCAATTTTTATTTATTTATTTATTTTTTGAGATGGAGTTTCGCTGTTGTTACTCAGGCTGGAGTGCAATGGTGCGATCTCGGCTCACCGCAACCTCCGCCTCCTGGGTTCAGGCAATTCTCCTGCCTCAGCCTCCTGAGTAGCTGGGATTACAGGCACGCGCCACCATGCCCAGCTAATTTTTTGTATTTTTATTAGAGACGGGGTTTCACCATGTTGACCAGGATGGTCTCGATCTCTTGACCTCGTGATCCACCTGCCTCGGCCTCCCAAAGTGCTGGGATTACAGTCGTGAGCCACTGCGCCCGGCTTCTACCAATTTTTCATATATTCTGTGCTGCTGCCAAACAGGTCTAGCAAAGGCTTCCTGAGCATCTCTGATGTGCTAGGCATTTGTTTTTCAGGTGCTGCTATGATTTGTGCCTTCCAAAACTGATGTTGAAATGTAATCCCTAATGTGGCAATATTGAGAGGTGCAACCTTTAAGAAGTGATTGGGTCATGATGGCTCTGTCTTCATGAATGGATTAATCCATTCATGAGTTAATGCGTTAATGAGTTATCATGGGAGTGGAACTGGTGGCTTTATAAAAAGAGGGAGAGAGACCTGAGCTAACATGCTTAGCCCCCTCACCATGTGATGCCCTGGGGCACCTCCAGACTCTGAAGAGAGTCCCCAACAGCAAGATGGTCCTCACCAGATGTGGCCCATCAACCTGAGACTTCTCAGCCTCCCAAACTCTAAGAAATACATTGTTTCTTTATAAATTATCCAGGTTCAGGTATTCTGTTATAAGCAGCAAAAAATGGACCAGGACAGGTCCACACTTTATCTGCAATTCTGAAATCCAGAAAGGTGTGAAACCAAAATATTTCTCCACTGTTTTGGTACAGACTTATTTGGTGGCAGAACCTGACCTGACCTGATATGAGGCTGTTTATAATCTTTATTCGCTCCATGTGCTATAAATATTCCGATGTCTTGCTGTGAATTACTAACATGTTTGCATACGTGATACCACCTGAGGACCTGTTGGGGTTTTCACCATATATTAGTGTAGGTACCATATTACCTTTATAAAATCCAAAAAGTTCTGAAACACAGCTGACCCCTAAGTCACACAGAAGGGACTGTGGACCAGCATTCTGGAGGGAGCCATGGTCTTAGAATTGGAAGAGGTGGGTTTTCTTCCCTGCTTTTGCAATGATAGCTTGCATGGCCCTGGGCAAGTCCCATCATCCTCGATTTTCAGTTACCTCATCTATGAAATGGGACCTGTCCTGTCTCAGAATGCACTGTAGGCTCAGAAACCAGACAATTAAGCTTGCTAGAAATATGTGTTAACAATGAGTGAATAGGTTCTGAATAAGATCTGAGGGTTACTCCCTCTGAGGAAGGTTCATGAGTTTTATTGCATAAATTTATTGGCAGTTCTCTTTTTTTCTCACTAGTTGATTTTTTGGTTTTGGGTGAAGTTCCACAGAAGGGGGGCTACCAGATCTCTGATTTGGATGCGCTGAACTATTGCTCTACCTTGGCTTTCTGTAGCACTCTTCCTTGGTTGGCGGCTACGATGGATGGGCTCCTCTTCCTTAGCTCAGAAACACAGTTGACAGGGAGAGATTGCTCTGGAACGCTGTTCTGCGGTTTATTTGCAGTTTCCTGTTGATGACAAGAAATAATTAGATAGGTGAGATCTGGTGATGGCTACCTACACCCAGGCTGCCTTCAAAAGCATGAGGATACTTTTTTATTTTTGAGACAGAGTCTCTTTGTCACCCAGGCTGGAGTGCAGTGGTGCGAGCTTGGCTCACTGCAACCTCTGCCTCCTGGGTTCAAACGATTCATGCACCTCAGCCTCCCAAGTAGCTAGGATTATAGGTGTGTACCACCACGCCTGGCTAATTTTTGTATTTTTAGTAGAGACAGGAGTTCACCATGTTGGCCAGACTGGTCTCAAACTCCTGACCTCAGATGATCCAACCATCTCGGCATCCCACAGTGCAGGGATTACAGGTGTGAGCCACGATGCCCGGCTAATTTTTGTATTTTTAATAGAGATGGGGTTTCAACAAGTTGTCTAGGCTGGTCTCAAACTCCTGGGCTCAAGCAATCCACCCACCTTGGCCTCCCAAAATGCTGGGATTATAGGTGTGAGCTGATGTGCCCGGTTGCATGCGGAACTTTAAAATAAAAGGCACCTGGCAAACATGACAACATTGAACAAGGTGAGAGGAGAAGATACTTGAGGACCTCAGATAATGATAATGACAACTAAAAGTACTGAACCTCACTATGTACAAGCATTGTGTGAATTAGCTCCTTTAGCTTTTCAATAAGCCTATGAAGTAGGTACTATTATTAGTCATTCCATTTTATAGTTGAGGAAATGGGGAAGGTCAAATTGCTGTCCAAGGTCACATGGCTGGTGAGTGTGAGAGCCAGGATTCCAATTCCATAGCCCTACTTTGTGTGTGTGTGTGTGAGACAGAGTCTTGATCTCTCGCCAAGGCTGGAGTGCAGTGGTGTGACCTCAGCTCACTGCAACCTCCACCTCCCAGGTTCAAGCGATTCTCATTCCTGAGCCACCTGAGTAGCTGGGACAGGCATGTGCCACCACACCCAGTTAATTTTTGTATTTTTAACAGAGATGGGGTTTCACTGTGTTGGCCAGGCTGGTTTAGAACTGCTGGCCTTAAGTGATCCACCTGTCTTAGCCTCCCAAAGTGCTGGGATTACAGGCATGAGTTACCATGCCTGGCCCCACAGCCTGACTCTTAACCTCTCTCCTGTATTCCTTCTCAGTTTTGAAATTACCTTTACCCCCTACATTTTCCAGATAATTGCTTAGTGTTAATACCTTACTGGATGTAATTTTTTAAGGGTGACATCTTAACTGCTAAGCCTGCAAGGAATTTGGATAAGGCTTTTATCTCCAAAGAATGTCAAAAGGATTCAAAACAGAGGGAAAAGTGCTCTGGAATGGGAGTATCAGGCCATGCTGGTGAGAGGAAGCAGCTGGGATGAACGAACCAGTTCTAGCTCCTCCACCAGCCCTCTGTGACTCTGGGAAGTTGTTTATCCTTGGCTGTCATGTTTTTCATCTATACAATGAGGTTGGAAACACCCCATGGAAAGGAAGTATAGGGGTGTAAGAAACAGCACTGGCTCAGTCAGCTGTGGTGTGACCAGGAAGCGTGACCGGGGACAAAAATAATAATGACACATTGCCTCCCACAAGTCATACTTATCAGACCAGTTATTTCATCTCTTTGAGTCTCAATTTCCTCACCCAAAAGCAGGCAAAACATTTATTCATTTGGCAAATATTTCTTGTACTCCTGCTATTTTTCTGTAAAGGGCCAGGGATTTAATGATCAAATGGATGTAGTCCAATTCTTAACAAAAATACAATTTAGTGGAGCAGACAGACACTGGACAAGCAAGGACACAAATATATATACACGCATGCATACACACAAATTGTGGTTACGTGCTACAAGGAAGAAGAATAGAGGGAACTGTTGGTAATTTAGACCAACTAGGGTCAGTTTTGCTCTCCCAGGGGACATCTGGCAATTTCTGGAGATATTTTGGTTGTCATTGGAGGTTGGGGTGCTACTGGCAACCAGTAAGTAGAAGCTAGAGATGCTGCTTAACATGCTACTTGATATCCTTAGGTGGGACCTTAACATCCCTAACATCCTGCTGATGCATAGAACAGTCCCTTATGAAAAGGAATTACTGGTCCAAAATGTCAGTATGCCGAGGTTGAGAAACCCTGATGTAGATGAGGTCAGAAAAGTTCTCTCTGAGAAAGTCCCATTGCAGGTGGGAGTATCTTCTCACAGAGTTGCTGGGAGCATTTGAGACAATGGATGCAGAGCCCTGAGGACAGGGCCCGGTACCCTGGAGATCCTAGGAGAGGGTATGTGAAACCATTGTATTTTTTGTAGAGACAGGGTTTCGCCATGTTGCCCTGGAGGGCTCTGGAGCAGGGCTCTGGAGTTAGACTTCCTGGGTTTGGAATCCTGTCTTTCACTTCACTGAGTGACCTTTAGCAAGTCATCCCACATCTCTGAACCTCAGTTTCCTTGTTTGTCAATAACTCCTGTAATACTACCTCATAGGACTGCCATGAAGATTGTGTGAGATCATACAGGTTAAGATGCCTGTAGTAATGGGTCACACATGTTTGTTACTCAGCATATGGTGGCTACCATTATCATCAATAACTCTAAGGCCATCTCTAAGATCACCTTCAGGGTAAAACGTCAAATGGTGGTGCTGGCTGTGGAGACAAGAACAGGCCTGCAAACCAAGATAAATTGCTCCAAGAGTCCTCTTCTTAGCTGTGGTACCCATGGCATGCCCTTCGCCTCTTGGACTCCATTTTCTTGTCTGTAAATAGGCATAAACCCTACCTCCAAAGAATGATCATGAAGGCGATCTGTAGAGAGTGAAGGGATATAGGAGCAGCTGCCTCTGGCATGGAAGGCCCTGGACTCACCACACTCTTGGGCTTGCTGCTCATGGAGAGTCCCAGGGCCGGCCCCCCAGCCAGGGACTGCTGCAAGCGTTCCTTCACAGCCACCAGCTTCAGCTCCAGGTCAATCCGGCGCTCCTCCTTTGCCCGACACTCAGCTTCCAGGGTGGCCACGGCTTCTTCCAGAGCCTTTAATTTTGCTCCTGAATCAAGAGACATTGAAAAGAAACAGCTGAACCTAATCTGAAGTGTCAGGGAATCTGGCAGGGCCTCGGGCATTTGTCTGCCCCTCCTGGAGGGCCTTTCCAACCCCCTGTCTTGGTAAAGAGATGGACTCTGGGCTTGGGGTTCCAGCTCCATGCTGGGTAGTGTAGTTTTTATATGTTTGGTACCCATTTCACCATCTCCTGGAAGTAGTACTCTGATTTTTCACTGGGAAACCACCTTTCCCCTCTCATTCTGTCTCTTCTTTTTTTTTTTTTTGAGATGGATTTTTCACTCTGTCACCCAGGCTGGAGTACAGTGGTGTGATCTCAACTCACTGCAACCTCCACCTCCTGGGTTCAAGTGATCCTCCTGCCTCAGCCTTCCAAGTAGCTGAGGCTACAGGCGCACACCGGCACGCCCAGCTAATTTTTTGTATTTTTAGTAGAGATGGGGTTTTGCCATGTTGGCCAGGCTAGTCTCAAACTTCTCAAGTAATCCGCCAGCCTTGGCCTGCCAAAGTGCTGGGATTATAGGCGTGAGCCACCACACTTTCCCCCACCCCCCACCACCATTCTCTATAGTTTGGGTGGGCCTGACTCTACTTCTAGTTCAAGGGTCTGGCACATAACTTAGGTCTGCCCCATAATCACAACACATCTTCTGGTGACAGTGATTGGATTAGGGATGAAAGTGGGACCAACCATAGTCAATCCAGAGGCTTCTGTGGTGGTCATTGGGAAGAGAAGCTCTCTTTGCTTGGGTTGGCTGGGAGGGCTGGATGAGGGCTAGCACTGTGCAGCCATTGTGCAATCACAAGGGGAGAATGAAACCAAAGGAGAGAAGGGCAGAAGCATAAGTGTAAGAAATAAGCTTCCTGGTAACATCATTTAAGTCCCTGGACCCCACTACACCGGATCTCTCCATTTTCCAATTACATCTTTCTTCTTTTCATTTCTCTGCCAGTTTAGCTTTGGTTTATGTTACTTGTAAACAAGGGTCATAACACAGTACTTTACAGACACCAGAGTTTCCAGTAGGATTTTGCTGCTTATTTAATTTATTTTTATTTTTAAATTTTATTAATTTTTTTTTTTCTTTCTTAAAAAAAAATAGAGACAAAGTCTCATTATGTTGCTCAGGCTGGTGCTGAACTCCTGCACTCAGTCCTCCGGCCTCAGCCTCCCAAAGTGCTAGGATTACAAGTGTGAGCCACGGCACCCAGCCTGCTTATTCGATTTAATCCAACAAACATATATTAGTACCTTTCTCATGCTAAGTACTGTGTTGGGTCTTACCAGGTTTAAAAATCAGTTCCATTCTTTGCCCTGAGGGACGCTGCACTGGAGGGTTTTCCAGTAATGCTGAATTCTTTTTTTTTTTTAAACACCTATTATGCCGTGAATTCATAGAAAATAGGTTTCAGCAGCTTAGGCTCCCTCCCATTGGTTCTCACAAAGTGTGCTTCTCTGGGTGGAGCAGGCTGGCGCTTCAGTTGAACCCAGGTACCTTTTTCTTTGGCTTCATTTTCTGATCATTTTCCTTCACGCTTTTCAGGAAGCTTTCTCGGCTCTTAGAGTGCTTATGTGCTCAATACGCACATTAATTCTCTTGGCAAGAATCTTGGCCTTGTTTGTTTACAACAATGCCAGTGGCATGCTGGGCAACATAGACTTCCAGCTTTGCCATGGTAACTCGTGAGGGGCATTCCTTTTCGAACAGCACCTATTCCCTTGATGTCTACAGTATCACCTTTCTTAAAGATTTGTGTATAATAACGTGGCCAAAGGAACAACTTCATGTTTTCTAAAAGACCTAGAGAACACATATTGGGTGCCTCTCCTCTTTCCCTTGGTGTTCATCATTTTGGCGAATTACTGGAAGATGGTGGTTCCCAAATTCCTTATATTCATCATGCACCACGTATTTAATGCATGCTTACCATGTATCAGGCATTGTCCTTGGCTCTGGATATATCAGTGAACAGAGCAGGCAAAAATCCTTGCCCTTATGGAGCTTATATCTGTGTGTGTGTGTGTGTGTGTGTGTGTGTGTGTGTGTGAAACAATAAATAATAAATGTAATAGATAATCTGATAGGTTACAAAGTGATAGTGCCACAGGGGAAAAAAATTGAGCAGGACAAGGGTAGTCAACTTGCTCCAAATCCTGGTTCTGACTCTTAGAAGCTTCTTCTTTATATGGAAACCAAACTGCCTTCTTCCTGTTGATTCTGGTTTTGGCCACACAGAACAAGTCTTTTAAACCAGAAGTTCTCAATCTGAGGCTCACGGAGTCGTAGGCAATCCACAGATAGGCTCCACAGGCAGCCACATGAGCGCCTGAACTTTTTTGCAGCTTTGTGAACTGTGGTGTTTCTTCTTAACCAGATTCGCATAGGGCTACATGTTTGTGGACATGTTTTACAGAAATAGGACTTCTGCTCCCTCCAGCATGTGGAGAAACTTTAGGCTTAAAGTGTGTGTCACACTACAGTTAGAGAGAATGCAAAGGAAACACAGGAGACAATAGGGTGTGGAGAAGCCCAGAGCAGGCAGGGGCTGCTGAGGTCCCTGGGTTTCAGAAGAGGATCCTGGGAAAGTGTCATGTCCATCATTCCCTGCATCAGGACCAATGTCTCACACATATCTGTGAATGAATGAAGGTGGGGTTCAGAATGACATTTCTTATTTCTTTGATTCTAAGACACACTTCTGTGCTTCCTATTTCTTTTTTTTCTGTTTTTAGAGATGGAGCCTTGCTCTGTCGACAGGCTGGTACAGTGGTGCCACCTAGGCTCACTGCAACCTCCACCTCCCGACTTCAGGCAATTTTCCTGCCTCAGCCTCCCATGTAGCTGGGACTACAGTGCCCTACCATGCCCAGCTAATTTTTGTATTTTTAGTAGAGATGAGGTTTCACCATGTTGGCCAGGATGGTCTTGATTTCTTGACCTCGTGATTCACCTGCCCGGCCTCCCAAAGTGCTGGGATTACAGGTGTGAGCCATCACACCTGGCCTTTTTCTTTGAGATGGAGTCTAGCTCTGTATCCCAGCTGGAGTGCAGTGGCGTGATCTCGGCTCACTGCAAACTCCGCCTCCCGGGTTCAAGCGGTTCTCTTGCTTCAGCCTTCTGAGTAGCTGGGATTACAGGTGCCTGCCACCACGACCAGCTAATTTTTTGTATTTTTAGTAGAGACGGGGTTTCACTGTGTTGGCCAAGCTGGTCTCAAACTCCTGACCTCGTGATCCACCCGCCTTGGCCTCCCAAAGTGCTGGGATTACAAGTGTGAAACACCGCATCCGGCCTGTGCTTCACACTTCTAAAGTCAGGTTACTTCTTACCACATGAAGTACACACATTATGATGATGCTTTTTCATCTCTCCAAAACAGGTATTAAATTGATGGCACTTCCTTTAATTAGGAGCAATGACGATGATGATGATGATGATGATGCAGAGAAGAGGAGGAGGACGAGGAGAAGGAGGAGCAGAGAAACCCACTTCTCTTGGGTAGAAAACCAGGTGACCCGTGCAAGAGACCTCCCCTTACTGTGCCCAGTGATGAGCCGGCCACCCATGGGTGCCCAGGACCACTCCCACACAGGTACCTGGGCTGCTCCGAATGGCTTCCCTCAGCTCCCTCTTCTCCTGTCTCAGTGCTATCAGCTCTGTCCGAATCGTCTCTTTCTCTTTCTCCAGCTTCTCTTTTTCGACCAAATACCTCCGGGCATCCTCCTCGGCTCGGTTCTTGCCATACTTGTATTGATTGGCACCTGCAGAGATGTAGGCAAGGGAGAGGCCCTCAGTTCTGACCTCTGGCAGAAGTACTTGGGTGGTGTCAGCTTCTCTCTCAGCCCCAACTGCTTCATCTATAAAATGGAAATATTTAGATCTAGTACCTTAGATATAGTTAGTGTGAATCCTCTAAGGAAAGAAGAAGCAAAAGGGAGGCTATAGAGCACAGGAAGTAAGATCAAGGGCCTTGGAACCAGACGGTCTGAGATGGGGGTGTTTTTGCCCTTCCAGGTTGTGTGACGTTAGGCAAAAGTGACTGGTAGTGTTTTTCGGTGTGTTTCCCCCTTGACCTTAGTTTCCTTATTTGTATATAAGGATATGGATACAATTTACCTCATAGAGTTGTGGTAAGGATTAAATGAGACAATTAATGAAAAGCACTTAGTGTAGTACCTGGCAAATGATAAGTACTTAGTAAGGGTTGGATAATAATAATATTATTAAAAAACAAATTTGTGATGCATAACACACTTGGATTGGGTTTTAAAAGAGCATGTTTTATAGTCAGTTTTCAGATATCTATAAGACGAGACTGTTCCATATAACTCAGATGTCCAGAGATTCTACACTTTGGGCTACAGTCAGGCATTGCCCATTTTATTGCTGGGGAAGGGGTTGGGGGAGGGAGGGACCTGGCAATCTACTGAAGGTTCAACACTGTGGTGGACAATAAAAACAAATAATTATGGCAAAAATTTATTATTTGCTATAGTATACACTACACAGTATATGCTAAGCCATTTACTTGCATTCCCATTTAGTCATCACAAAACTTTTTTTTTTTTTTGAGATGGAGTTTCGCTATTGTTACCCAGGCTGGAGTGCAATGGCGCAGTCTCGGCTCACCGCAACCTCTGCCTCCCGGGTTCAGGCAATTCTCCTGCCTCAGCCTCCTGAGTAGCTAGGATTACAGGCACGCACCACCATGCCCAGCTAATTTTTGTATTTTTAGTACAGATGGGGTGTCACCTTGTTGACCAGGATGGTCTTGATCTCTTGACCTCGTGATCCACCCGCCTCGGCCTCCCAAAGTGCTGGGATTACAGGCTTAAGCCACCGTGCCTGGCCAAAACTTATTTTATTTGTTTATTTTTTTTGAGATGGAATCTCGCTCTGACCAGGCTGGAGTGCGGTGGTATGACCTCGGTTCACTGCAACCTCTGCCTCTGGGGTTCAAGCAATTCTCCTGCCTCAGCCTCCCGAGTAGAGTATCTGGGACTACAGGTGCACGCCACCATGCCAGGCTAATTTTTGTATTTTTAGTAGAGATGGGGTTTCGCATGTTGGCCAAGTTGGTCTTGAACTCCTTACCTCAAGTGATCTGCCTACATCAGCCTCCCCAAGTGTTGGGATTACAGGCATGAGCCACTGCACCCAGCCCACAAAACTTATTATAATTAGTTCTTTTTTATTGTTGAGGAAATTGAGGCACACAGAGGTTAGGTCTCACTGCTAATGGTGGCAGAGCTGAGATTAAACCCATGTCTCCACATCTCTCTAACTCTAGGGTCCATGCTGTGCAGTACTGTTCCAGCTGGGCCAAGGCCATAGTGCAACTTCTGAGGGAAAGTTTTACTTTGTGTGTGTGTGTGTGCGCACGCTATACAGAGCCACACACAGCTCTGTGTAAGTTGGTGCAGAATGAGTCCTGCAGTTTGAAGATAATTGGGGGTCTTGTCTACCCAGCTGTGCTGGGATTGCAGTGGTCACCCAGTTACCCATGCAGAAGTCAGTTCCTGACACAACTACTCTGCAGTTCAAGCCTGATCGTAAATACAGCATGGAGGACCTTCTGACTTCCATTGTTACTGATGAGAAGTCAGCTGTTAAATGTTACTGGGGTTCTTTTATACATGATGACTTGATTTTCTCTTCTGCCTTCTAGATTTTTTCCTTCTCTTTGGTATCAGCATTTTTAACATGATGTGTCTTTTGTAGATCTCCTTGCCTTTATCCTACTTGGACTTCACTGAGCTTTGTGGATGTATAAATTAATGTTTTTCAATAAATTTGGCAAGTTTCAGCCATTATTTGAATATTTTTAATGCTCATCTCTCTCTCTCCTCTCCTTCCAGTACTCCCTATACATGTATGTTTGTTCACTTAACGGTGCTCCACAGTGCTCCGAGGCTCTGTCATTTTTCTTCACTTTTTTTCCTCTCTGTTCTTTGGTTTGCATAATCTCTATTTTTCTATTATCAAGTTCACTGATTCTTTCTTCTACCAGGTCAAATTTACTATTGTGCCCATTGAGTGAGTTTTTCATTTCAGTTATTGTATTTTTCAGCCTTACGATTTTCATTTGGTTCTTCTTTTTACAATTTCTATCTCTTTATTGGTAGCCTCTATCAATATATTATCAGTAATATATTTCATATAACTATAGTATATAGTATAATATAATATGGGATAGTGTATAGTTATATTCCATATAACTACAGTGTAATTCTATATACCTATACTATAGCGTATAGTATAGCGTAGTATAGTACTCAGTGTAGTCTATTTCTTCCTGCAGTATGAAGCCAATTTCTCTGGAACAATGAGAAATACATTTCTGTTGTTTATACATTACCTAGTTTATGGGACCTTGTTATAGCAGGAGGAATGGGCTATTATCAATATATTGATAGAGACTACCAATAATATAGGCTGCTAATACACTGTCATCTTCCTGTAATAACCGTACTATACTGTACTACACTGTAATAACTATCTGTTAATACACTGTCATCTTTCATTCCTTTATTCCTTTAAGCATGGTTTCCTTAAGTTCTTTAAATATATTTATAATGGCTGCTTTAAAATCTTTGTTAAATTCTACATTTGGGCCCTCTGGGGTAGTTTCTGTTGCTTGCTTTTTTTCCCTTCTGTATGGGTCCCATTTTCCTGCTTCTTCGCATGTCTCATAATTTTTTGTTGAAAACTGGTCATTTTAGAGACTATATTGTAGTATCTTTTGATATGCATCCCCCCAATCAGGTTGTTGGGTTATTTTCTTATTTGTTTAGTGACTTGTCTGAACTGTTTTAGTGTAGTCTATTTCCTCTTGCAGTATGAAGCCACTGAAGTTCCTCCTCAGAGGCTACAGCCTTGGCATGTGTACAGTCACTCTGGGGTGACAGTGTATTAGCAAGGATTTCTCTGACTCTTTCCATAATCTCCTGTTAAGCAGTCTGCCTCTGTTGCTATTAGACCCAGCTGTTAGGCTCTACTAATTGTCAGGTGTTTGCTTGATTGCTTTTGACAATGCATCAGTTACTCCACAGTCTGATCCAATTAAATTCAGCCCCTTTATGGGGTAGTTTTAGAGACTCATCTTTAAGATTTGTTCTAACCCCAGGAGGGTTCTTTTTATTAAAAAAAATTTTTTTTAAAGTGTTTGAGACAGGGTCTCACTCTGTCACCCAGGCTGGAGTGCAATGGCATGATTGCAGCTCACTGCAACTTCTGCCTCTTGGGTTCAAGTGATTGTTGTGCCTCAGCCACCTGAGTAGCTGGGATTACAGATGCCTGCCACCATGCCTGGCCAATTTTTGTATTTTTAATAGAGACAGAGTTTTCCCATGTTGGCTAGGCTGGTCTTGAATTCCTGGCCTCAAGTGATCAATCTGCCTCAGCCTCCCAAAGTGTTGAGATTACAGGCATGAGCCATCATGCCCGGCTAAGGGCATTTTTTAGCTCTTTCTGTGGTTCTCTCTGATAAGCTAGTTGGCCTATGGTTTAGTTTATTGTTCTCATGGAGCTACCAGCCTCCTCCTATTTACCACCAAATCTCCATTGTTTTTGAGAGCACCCTTTGGTTTAAACTTTCCCACACTCTGTTCCAACTAAAGTCAGTTCTTTTGAGGAAGAGCTCTGGAGTTCTCTGTTCTTAGGACCTGCCTTTCCCTACTGGCTAAAATCACTGAGTCACTGCTCTGGATCCAGGGGTGGGAACAATGGCCTGTGCTGTAGGTTGAATGTTTGTCCCCTACAAAACTCATGTTGAAATTTAACTGCAATTGTAACGGTATGAAAAGGTAGGACTTTGAGGTGATTTAGGTCATGAGGGCTTTGCCTTCATGGGTGGTATTAACCCCCTTTTGCCTCTTTGCCCTTCCATTTTCTGCCAGGTGATGATCCAGCAAGAAGGCCCTTGCTAGATGTCAACCCCTTGATCTTGGGTTTTCCAGTATCCAGACTGGGAGCTAGTAATTTCTGTTCATTATAAATTACCCAGTCTCTGGTATTCTGTTATAGCAGCATAAAACAGATTAAGACAGCCTGTTTCTCTTGCAGTGACATTCCCGGTATGAGCAGGGTGCTGGGTAGGGATAGTAACCTTTGGTCTTCTCTGCTTGCCTCTCCCAGCATGGAACCTCTGGCCTACAAGTAAGCTAGGATGAGGGCAATCCGGGCCCCAGTATTCTTGGCTTACCCTACCTGGGGCAAAGCCTTTGCTCTATACTCTGGGTAGAGGAAGGGAACTTCTTACCTCTTGACTGCAATCACCTGAAATTTATCCTCTGCAGCATGGAGCTGAGTATGAGAAGAAATACTGGTAGTCTGCCCTTTCTGGGGAGATACTATAGCCCTTGACTGGCAGCTGCAGGAAGAGGGAGCCCTGTTTTCTTGTTCAGACCTGCCTGGAGTGGAGATTCTTTCAAACTGAGTTGAGGAGTAAAGGGGTAGGTTGTGGCTCAAATGCTACAAACTCTCACTGTTCTGAGATTTAGCAAATTTTCTAGAATAAATGTTTCTTCATTTGCTCTTAGGAAAATTTCCAAACTTTAGATAATTGTTGGTTTCAATAAATTCCACCAGCTACAACTGTTTTGCTAGGGAGTGGGTCTATGTGGCTTCTCACACCACCATTTTTCTCAGCAAGCTACCTGATCTCCATGACTCTGGCTTCTTGATATTCATGCCCTTCTGTAGTTCCCTCCCACACTGAACAATGCTGACCTGCGTCACCATTAGGACACTGCAGAATGACCGAGTGTAACTTCTAACCATACGTCATAAAGGACCTTGCAGCATCAGTCTTGCTGTTCCCTCTTGGGTTGCTTGCTCTGGGGGAAGCCAGCTGTCACAAAACAAGGACAAGCAACTCTATGAAGAGATTCCCATGGCAAAGAACCGAGGCCTCCTTCCAACAACCAGCACAAACTTGCTAGGCATGCAGTGAGCCATCTCAGAAGTGGATCCTTCAGCCTGTCAAGCCTTTAGATGACTTCAGAAGACCAGCCAACATATTGAGATCTCATGAGACCCCAAGCCAGACCTACTTATCCAAGCCATTTGGGATTCCTGACCCACAGAAACCATGTGACATAACACATGTTCATCATTTAGAGGAGCTAAATTTTGGGTAATTCCTTATGTAGCAATAGGCAATTAATACATGATCATGGACAAGATTATTTGGCTGTAGACTAGATGTTTATATCTCCCAAAATTCATATGTTGAAACCTAACCCCCTATTGATGGAGTTGGGGCCTCTGGTAGGTGATTAGGCCATGAGGGTAGAGCCTTCATGGGTGGGATGAGTGCCCTTAGAAAAGAGACCCCAGGGAGCAAAAACATGGCCATCACCAGGAAACAGGCCCTCACCAGACACCAAATCTGCTGCCACCTTGATCTTAGACTTCCCAGCCTCCGGAACAATGAGAAATACATTTCTGTTGTTTATAAGTTACCTAGCTTATGGAATTTTGTAATAGCAGGAGGAATGGATGAATGTATGTTCCCTTTTATTTTCTTCAGTTTCTTCATCTAAAAAACAAACTTGTTGGAATTCATCAGTAGTTTTTCACTGTAGTTTCCCAGTGCCGGCAACTTACGACCTCACAGTGATGGCTAACAGGAAAAGTGGAGGCCCAGTGGGCCTCAGTCAGAGTAGCTCCACTTTTACTTTCCTTTTGTAAACTGGGCTTTCATATACGATTTGATTTGAAGAAAGGGTCTGCTTTTTTATGTGTGTTTGTTAGTTTTTTGTTGTTGTCATTGCCATTGAGTGATTTCTTTAATCTTACATGCTTTTTTTTTTTTTTCAGTTTAGATTTCCATTTAAAAATGGTCATTTCGCAAGGCCCTGTATTTCCAGTGCCTCTGAGGGTAGAGTGCAAAGTTACACAAGCACCTTCTGATTGTTCAGAGAGGAAACGCAGGCCCAGAGAGGGGAAAGAACTTTTCCCAAAGTTGCACAGTAATTCAGTGGTCGAGGGAGGAATGAGGAGTGGAATACACATTTCCTGATCCCAGAAGGGATGATCGATACAAATGAAATGGAGCTATAATATAGAAAAGTATTTTTAAAAATAGATAGTAACAAATAAAAGTAAGTTTTCAAAAAGCACAACACAGGACTTGACTCTGTTGAGACGCAGGGGGAAGAAACGTAAAGGAACAAAGAAGAAACTCTTGGAACATGCTGTCCCACAGGAAGCTGGCTTGTTCATAAAGCTAAATCACACAGGAGCACAGATTACTGCTGGAAGTAAAACAGAATTTACAACAGAGTTGCCTGACATACTTAGTCATTATTGCGCAGTGTGGCAATCAGGCAATTCCCTGAGCCCCTGTGGGGGATACCACAGAGCTAGGGTGGGATACCATGGCGAGCTCTGGCTTTCATGGCAGCTGGCTCCAGGGTACTTGGATGGATTCAATTCTCTCTTATTACCCCAGATCAGAAATCACAAATCGTTAGCCTCTGAAACAGATACAGCTTGTCAGCAATCTCTCTCTCTCCTTTCTATTTGGCCTCATTCAGTGCTAAATTAAAAAAAAAATAGTTGCTGATATTAAAAAATAATTAAATTTCACCTAAAGTCTAGATTTGTGGCCTGTTTTAAGTAATCGGCAGATGTGGTGTTAGGGGCCTGGTACTGCTGCATGCGGATTGTCTTCTAGAGCTGTGCAGCAGCCTCCCCTATAGTTGGGACCTGAGCACTCCAGTTTCCCACAGTTCCCCCCGACCCCCAGCTCCCTGTCTTTTTCCCTCTGAGGCCACATGCCGACTGCCCTTTATCATTGTGCTTGCGCTGCGATTTTTCTTAGGGTAGGTATTTCCTGGCATCTCACTTTGCTCATTTATTTACCCATCAGAGGAACTGATTTTGAAATCCCTCCTATAGACTGGTTCCTTCCCTTCCCGCCTAGCCAGCAGGGGAGGCTCACACACAACTCACTGGAGGCGTGGCGTTTGACTTTGACCTGTGGGTCCACGCGATGGGACTTCTCACTGCAGGAGGAGGCATGGCGCTTCACCTGGGCCCCTGTGGGGCGCTCAGGCTCCCCATCCTGGTGGGAGATGGAGGAAGACAGTCAAAGGCAGGCAGGCGCACTCATCACTGCAGAGTATACTGTGGTCTTTGCTCAGCACGGGCTCTTCTTGCTCTGAGATCTTGGCCTTACAGTTTTAGACTTGCACAGCACTCACAAATCATAAAGCAGTTTTTCTAGCAGTATATCATTTGAACCTCATACTTTTCTGCTGGGAAGCAGCAGAAGGCAACCCTAAACTATAGTATCTGCTGAGAGGAAAATTAGAAAGTCTCAAAAGACCGTGGGTGGCTATAATTTATTTATCATAGATATTTTTATCTTTAGAACATTTGGAAGTATCCTGATTTTCTGAATTGCTAACAGAGTCTTCCCTCAAGAAGAAAAGTCTTGGATGAGATCAGCCAGTGACAGAAGTGACATAATTTAATAGACCAACTATACATTGGAGCATGAAGAATATTTACACTAAAAATCCAGTCAAAGCTTAGGAAACCATGAGTTTAAAAATGATAATAATGTAATAAAATAATGATGTTGTCAACAACAGTACTATTTACTCCTCTTTACAACACTTGCCAATGTCTAGACCAGGCGTCCCCAAACTACAGCCCGCGGGCCGCATGCAGCCCCCTGAGGCCATTTATCCAGCCCCCTCCGCCACACTTCAGGAAGGGGCACCTCTTTCATTGGTGGTCAGTGAGAGGAGCACAGTATGTGGCGGCCCTCCAACGGTCTGAGGGACAGTGAACTGGCCCCCTGTGTAAAAAGTCTGGGGACGCCTGGTCTAGACACTATGCCCATTTTTTCTTTTCTTGAGTGCGGTGGTGTGATCATGGCAGCCTCAAACTTTTGGACTCAAGTGATCCTCCCACCCCAGCCTCCCAAGTAGCTGGGACAACAGGTGCACAACACCATGCCGGGCTAATTTTTGCAGAGACAGGGTTCCGCCATGTTGGCCAATCTGGTTTCAAACTCTTGGGCTTCAGTGTTCCACCCACCTCAGCTTCCTTAAGTGCTAGGATTACAGGTATGAGTCACTGCACCCAGCCTAAATGTTTATTTTTTGAGATAGAGTCTCACTCTGTTGCCCAGGCTGGAGTTTGGTGGCATGATCTTGGCTCACTGTAACCTCTGCCTCTCGGGTTCAAGTGATCCTCCTGCCTCAGCCTCTCGAGTAGCTGGGACCATAGGCATGCACCACCATGCCTGGCTAATTTTTGTATTTTGTTTTAGTAGAGACAAGGTTTCACCATGTTGGCCAGGCTGGTCTCGAGCTTCTGGCCTCAAGTGATCCTCCCACCTCAGCCTCCCAAAATACCAGGATTATAGGCATGAGCTACTGAATCCAGCCCCTACCTAAACTTTTTTACTTAAAGTATTATTTAATTCTTGCAGGCATCCAAGAAGGTAGGTTTTACCATATCCTTTTGGAGTCAGCAAGTGAGGACCAGAGAAGTGAAACTCAGCCCTAGCCCTGAGTCTGGGTCTCCAACCTTTATGTCCTTAAGTGCTAAGCTGTCTTGTTACTAAACTCTGCAACTGAGAAAAACCTCAAGCTGCATCCACAAGTTTCTCTCTCTCTGAAGAAAGACCATATGAACAGAAGGATGACTGGAGAAATTTCAAGAAAAGGGAGTCCTGGAGGTGAAAACTCAGTGTGTCATCCAGCACCATCCAAGGCAGAGGCCCTGTCTGCAGACACGTGTGTTGTCCTAGGCAGCTTAATTGCCTCTCTCCTGCTAGCTGTAAGGCCTGGCCAACCCACCAGCGTCTGACTGGTATGTGGCTCTCCTCTCACTTTCTGAGGGAGGAGACAGCACAGGGCATGCTGCCAAGAGCATTCCAGGTCATGCGATGGCTACACAGGACTCACTGTGAATTAATAAGCTGGTATCTCCCTGGTTTAGCAAGCAAAACATGGAGACTGGCCTGGGAGCTGAAGTTCCCAGATTATGAAGGTGACCACGTGAAGGCTTGCAGGTGGCCCCACAGTCAGCATGCGCCCCAGACACCACGGAATCAGTAGGATAAGTTCACAGAGTGGTAAATGGGAGGAGGGCCCCAGCATCTTGCTCAAACTGGAAACGACGCCTCACCTTTCTGTAGTGCTTGACAGTCTACAGAGCCCTTTCTTCCTCCCAACCTGGGGCTCTTCCCACTGCACCACCCAGCCTCCTGTGCCAGGGATTCCTCATCCGGAGCCATGCTCTATGGTAAGAAGGGCTCCCCTTCTAGCTGCGGCTGCTTAAATGAAAAGGATCTCTCCGAGGCAGAAGATAAAGGGAACAGAAAGAGGGAGAGCTAATAAGTGGCCTTTGCCACATTCCTGGGCAGCCCAAGGAAACTGTACCTGCATCTTTTCATAAGGAACATCATCATAGACTCGGGGCTCAGGCCACTGATTCTGGCAGGATCTTGCATATCTAGAAAATAAAAGGGGCAATGACAATGACAGTGATGCTTTGCAGCTTACAGTACTTTCCTGTCCACACTCTCATTGATTCTGGCAGAAACTTTAAGGCAGGTTGGAAGATTACAAAAGCAAGATGACAGGCAGCATTGTGTCCTGGGCTGTGTTAGGGCGTCATAGGCAGGACCAATGTGATTCTCATTCAACGTGCAAGGCAGGTAATTCATCACCACCATTCTATGAGTCAGAAAGCAGAGATCCTAGATGGCAAGCAACCAGCGCAAGCTTCCACAGCTGGTGGTGACAGATATGGGACTCGCATCTGGCTCTTCTCATACCGAATGCCATATACTAGCCAAGTGTCCATGCTCACGTGTGTGAAAGCTTAAAGTCCTGTGGCATGAGGGCAGAGCCCAGGCCACGACTTCAAGGCTTCTCCACTTTGTCTCCTTCCATTCACAGCTTGCCTCTGACCCTGGGCCACCTCCTTCAGCCAGCTCCCCACTCCTTACTGTAAGAGGAAGACACCCATTCCAACTTCCCAAGGAAGCAGAGCTTTCCTTAGCTCCTCCCTTCCCTCCCAGTGCCCAGGGCTAGACTCAGCCTCTGAGAGGGATGGAGACAGGAAAGGTCCTGGGCAAGTGTGGCGGGTGCAGCTGACCCTTACAGGAAGGAGTTGCGCCCAGCACTGACGATGCTGGTTAAGGTCTCCACGTCCACGTAGTCATAGTGCAGCGCCTCCGGGGTGACTCCGGAGCCCATCTCCACCAGCAGCAGCCCAAGCCAGCGACCCATGTCCTCCGAACAGCTTGCCTGAAGGACAGGAGGCAAAGGTGGAGTTCATTTTCACACAGTCAGGACTTCTGGAGATCTGTTGACTTCAGCCAAACCCAGAAATATCTGTAAGTACTGACTATGTACCCGATACTCAGGGGTCAAAGAGGAATAAGATCACAGTACAGATCTAGAAATTCAAGAAGCTTCCTTCTTCCATCCATTCAGGTTTCCATTCAAATGTCACCTCCTTAGAGAGACCCTCCGTGATGACCTCTCTAAGACAGAAGCCTCCCTGCCCTCACTTTCCATTCTCAGAGCCTTCCCAACCATTAGGATATAAAACCACCATTGGGTGTTCTCTGAATTTTTAAAAAATATTTACTTTTTATTAGAAAAGGCCATTTCATATATAACTCAATCAATTTTTTCCTTGCGTTATAATTGCCAAATAATTAAAGTACCGTGTATTCAAAAATCTCCAAGAAGTTGCCAGTCAACTAAACACAGACTTATGTTAATTCCCATTTAAAGAACATCTCATAAAATCAGATTGGCACACAAATGCTAAACTTCAGTAAATAAAGCACATTTTTTGTTAGAAAGCTTCATGTATAAGAGAAATAAGAGACTTAAACTACAAAAAATAACAGTGAGTTAGAGAGGCAGTCTTTTTTGAAATTTAAGAACTGAGAGAGGAAATGGTTCTTGGGCAGAAAACAGGACCAAGAGGTCAGGTTCTAGGACAAGACCAAGAAACCACTGGCTCTCTGTGGACCCCTGGATAAAGTGCGTGGCTGCCCTGGCCTCAGTTTCCTTGTCCGTGATGGGAGAAGTTAGTTTTTGGTTTTCCTCTAGTGTTAACATTTTAAATTTTAAATCGCCAAAGGGTTGCTATGTGGAAGAGAGAGACCACGTATTCTGCATGACCTCAGAGAGGAGGGCTAGTCCGTGGGTAAGAAGGAGAGTGAACTGGCGAAATGTAATCACACTTCATGCACTCATTTGTTCAACAAATATTACTAGAGCCCACAGTAGTCTAGTGCTGGACATCATGCAGAGTTCTGGAAAAACAAAAGTATGCAAAATAGGCCTGGTTATTGCCTTCCTGGAGCTTAAAGATTTCCACTCAGGATGGGGAAAATCTTTCTAAAATTTGAATTGCTCAATGGGAGGGGCGGGCAGCGGACCTCCTCGTCCAGCAGAGGAGGCTACGGGGGGGAGGTCTGAGAGGAGGTTCCAAAATGTGAATGGGTGACACTGGACTAGGTGCCTTTCAGACTTGAGATTTTTTTTTTGAGCTGGAGTTTCGCTCTTGTTACCCAGGCTGGAGTGCAATGGCGCGATCTCGGCTCACCGCAACCTCCGCCTCCTGGGTTCAGGCAATTCTCCTGCCTCAGCCTCCTGAGTAGCTGGGATTACAGGCACACACCACCATGCCCAGCTAATTTTTTGTATTTTTAGTAGAGACGGGGTTTCACCATGTTGACCAGGATGGTCTCGATCTCTTGACCTTGTGATCCACCCGCTTCGGCCTCCCAAAGTGCTGGGATTACAGGCTTGAGCCACCGCGCCCGGCAGACTTGAGATTTTAACGTAAGGAAAAAGAAACAAACCTTAGTGTTCTGGGGCTACCAGATGTAGCAAATAAAATGCAGAATGTTTGGTTTAATCTGCATGGTAGATGAACAACGAATACTATTTGAGTATTGATAAAGCCCCAATCTTGCATGGGACATATCTATATTATTATGAAAACGTGTCAGGTAATATTCGTGGCTTACCTGAGATTTAAATTAAGTGGGTGTCTGGTATGTTATCTTATAATCCTACTCGGGTCACCTGACAGGAATGGGGCTTGCTTTCCTTCCCCTTCAGTCCCCGGGCTGTCAGTAGCAAGGGCTCCCTCACACAAAACACAACACTCAGGCCAGAGTCCCCAGACCAAGCAGCACCTGCCTCCCCCACGTCCTCTCACCTCCAAGATGGCCACCTCCTGCCGGTTGCGCAGGATCCTGAAGGCAAACGGGTGTCGGGGCCCAAAGCCCGGGGCCACCTCACAGCCTTGCAGGGCGATGGCGTTCACATGGGTTTGCAGGTCCGTGTGGTCCTTGTGGAAATACAGAGTGTTGCACTTCAGGCGGCACCAGCGTTCCTTCCAGCCCTGGTTCACCAGCACGTTCAGGTAGCCTGGAGGAGACAGTGGCGTGACGTTCCCACAGCCTGCCCTGGGACAGCATGGGGATGCAAGCCAAATGCATGTGTCTGCTGGAAAGAAGGTCTTGGGGTTCTGGTCAGCTCTCTCTCCCCCGTGGCCTCTGGTGACTTGGGCCTGCTTTTCTCTGAGTTTGTTTCTTAGCTGTGAAATACAGACTGTTAATGGCATTCATACATCTCTGCACAGCCTTTGGACAACAACAAGCTTGATGAAAAGGGCAGGAACTACTGCATAGGATATATAAAAGACACAACTCTTTTGCTTTTCTCACCAAATCAAAACTGTTGCTGAAAGATGGAAAATAATGGACGATGCTGACATCCAGTGGCAGCGTGTGGGAACAAAAATGTCTCGCTTACATAATCCTAAAATTGACCAAGGCACAGCTGCTGTATAGCTAATGACCCACAGGTTTAGAATTCCCTCACAATGCTTTAGACTTAAATTTGTTTATTTTTGCCATAAAAGATTCTGATTCGCTGATTACAAAATATTTCTTTGTAGCCATGTATTTACGTATTTATTTTTTGAGACTGGGTCTCCCTGTCATCAAGGTTGGAATACAGTGTCTCTATCATGGCTCACTGCAGCCTCGACCTCCTGGGCTCACGTGATCCTCCCACCTCAGCCTTCCAAGTAGCTGGGATTACAGGCATACACTACCATGCCTGGCTAATTTTTGTATTTTTGGTAGAGACAAGGTTTCATCATGTTACCTGGGCTGGACTCAAACTCCGGGGCTCAAGTGATCCTCTGTCCTCAGCCTCTCAAAGTGCTGGGATTACAGGGGTGAGCCACTGTGCCTGGCCCTGCCATGTACTTTTATAATATATTTTTTAAGGGTTAGAATAATTACTGCATATCCAAAATATATGATTTTTAAAAACTGGGTTCCACTACATGGAACGCTACATTTACGTGAGCAAAATAATGTTTTCCCCTTCAAATCACTTTTAATTCACATTGAATGCATTTATAACTAAAAGTACCTAAATATTTTTCTCCAAGAAATTTCCCTATAAGATGGATTGTAACTTATACACCTGGCATGCCCTATGCTGGGAAATAAGATACCCCTGTCTTGTTATAGTAGAAGAAACTGGGAAACTGAGGCCCAGAGATGGGCAGTGATTTGGGCTAAGGTCACAGGGAGCATAGAAATACAGTGGTCGGCGGGCTTTTCCTCTCGCTGAGTGTCAGAGCCTCTGGGGAGGGAAGTGACAAGAAGGCCTAGAGTGTGAATGGAGTGGGGTTTAGCCTCCTAGTAGGCTGGGATTCTCTCCCCGGCCTGGGGGTGAGGTGGATGAGGCACGGGGTCTCCTGAACTCTGCCCCAGAAGCCCGCACCCACAGGTCCTGAACACCCTTCCTCCCTGTGCTCTGGACCCACCACAGCAGGGAATCTCCTCGGCGGAGGACGTCTGCAGGTCGTCGGCCAGTTGCTTCTTCTTGGAGAAGTTGATGATACGAGTGATCTTGCGGCCCGCGGCCCTGCTCATTGAGCCCTTCAGCTCTGCCAGGCTGCTCTTCTTCCCTTTGCCTGTTTGGAAAATGGGTCAGGGCAGTAGAGGGAGCTCCAGGTCCCACCCACCCTTAGTCTTCCCCATGGCCTTTTCAGCCTGCACACAGGGATGGACCTGCAGCTCCAGGTATGGCAGGCCAGGCCACTGACGCAGGTCTCCAGAGTGGTCAGGACCTGCTCTGCCACTGTATGCCCATGGGCAAGGCCCCTCCCAGTCCCAGCATTCCCCAGCCTGAGATCCCAGAGGCTCCTACCGTGATCACAGGCCTCCCGGCGGCCAAGGCTAGAACAGTTATCGCCTATGCCCATGCTGTCAGAATCTGAGGTCTGCTTCTCTTGGGACAGCCTCTGAGGAGGGACACAGACAGTCCCCCATAAGAGGGCACATTCAGCAGTACCCAAATGTCCCTTTATTGGTTCAATCTTCCTCCAACTTCCCCAGCACATGACAATTAGCTAACAAATGTTTGTCAGCAACTATTCTGTGCCTGATACCATGCCTGGTATTGGGAAGACAACCATGACTTAGATATAGTTGTGTCTTTGGGCAATTCAGTCTGTTTGGTGAGGGAGGCAATTAATTATAACACTTTGAGATGGATGTCTTAGGAATTTGGACTGTATTTGGCAGGTGACAGGGAGCTGGGAAAGTAAGTGGAACACTAATGTAATCCAAATTGGTTTAGGAAGTTACTTCTTGTGGCATTGTGGGGACAGACAAGAGGGGACAAGACTGGAAGCAAAAGAGCCACTTAAGAGAGTGTCATCTGTGTTTATTGTGGCAAATGTTTACAATAGCAAAGACGTGGAACCAACCCAAATGCCCATCAATGATAGACTGGATAAAGAAAATGTGGCACATACACACCATGGACTACTGTGCAGCCATAAAAAGGATGAGTTCATGTCCTTTGCAGGGACATGGATGAAGCTGGAAACCATCATTCTCAACAAACTGACACAAGAACAGAAAACCAAACACTGCATGTTCTCACTCATAAGTGGGTGTTGAACAATGAGAACACATGGACACAGGGAGGGGAACATCACACACTGGGGACTGTTGGGGGTGGGGGGCTAGGGGAGGCATGGCAGGGGGTGGGGGAATTGGGGAGGGCTAACATTAGGAGAAATACCTCATCTAGATGACGGAGGGATGGATGCAGCAAACCACCATGGCACATGTATACCTATGTAACAAACCTGCATGATCTGCACATGCATCCCAGAACTTAAAGTATAATAAAATAATAATAATAAAAGAGAGTGTCATCCTTGTCATGATAAGACTCAACAAGATCATGAACCAAGTGACAATGAGGATGGAGAAAAAGAGATGAGCTGGCAGACATTTTCAAAACCGTCTTGGCAGGACTTGACTGTTGTGAAGATGTCTGCCAGCTTATCTGGAGTCCATTATGATCCTAACTTCGGGGAGAGGATGGGAAGGGAACACATACCCACACACCCACACATGACATGTCGACAATTTCACTGCCAGCCCAAATTAGTTTTACTCATTACACCAACTCTAGACCATTTATCAATTCATTCATTCAAGGTCCCATGTATACTAGGCACCATGGGATGTACACTGGAAGCAATGATGACTTTTACCACTTATTAGCTGTGGAAATGTGGGAAGGTCCTTCTATTCCCCTCAAGGCTGGGTTTTCTCACTTGAATTCCACCGACTTCAGAGGGCTGCTGTGAGGGAGCCAGCCCAAGTGAAGGCCCACTGACTGTATCATTTCCAACACCTGTGTAGTGTGCTGCCATCCTTCTTCAAGGAGCTAAACTGTGCCAGCCACACTTGGACCAGGATTAAATGACATCCACCCACTTGAGAAGGTAGAATTACAGAGCTCTGAGGTCCCAAAGCCTTTCCTGCCAAGATCCTCTCAAATCAGGTTCAGGGATGCTTCACCATAAGCATAGCACCAGGGGAACAGGGAGGACGGGAGAGCATGTACTCCTCTCAATTTCCGAAGGGCTTCAAACATGACACGTGTCAGAAAGGGGACAGAACCATCAAGTGTAAAGAATCACCTCTTCAAATTGTGAAACAGAAGTTATGGCTCCATGTGTTCTGCAATGGTGTAGAGATGGCAAGGTTTTCACCAAGATAGATAGCAAATACAAGGAAGTACTGGGAGCCCTTTGGAATTAACTGGATGATGCTGCTGCAATCACACGATTCCATGGAGAAACAGACCCACCAATATCATGTCCTCAACCTCACTCTCCACCCAAAATCACACCCTGAACATTCTAGTTACCCTCCCCGTGGACACTCAGCCACAGGAAAGCTCAACTCTACAAGCTTGCCTCTTCTTCCTCTCTACAATTCCTCCAAACTGCACCACAGCACGCACTGGCGAGTGTGTGCACACACACTCATGCACACCGACACTGCTAATGCTGCTTTCCCTCTGGCCTCACTAATGGCAAAGGCTAAATGAGGATAGGGCTGAGCTTCTCCCCCTGCAGCCTGGGCACATGAATACTCACCTTCCACTCCTGGTGACTCCGCCTGATCCCGTACCTTTGCTTCTGTTTCCTCCCCTCAGTCCACCTCTGCCTCAGTGAAATCTTGCCTGTGCTTCAAGACTCAACATAGGTGCTTGTCTTCCCTCATCCTTATCATCCCTACAGCCAGTGAGAGCCCCTGTTCCCCTCATTGTAGCTTTCTGGGATACTCTAATAGGCTGGTGGACTCTCCTTTCTCTCTGAACTCAGCCACACTGGCTGTTTTCATTGCCAGGCTTCTTCCTGCTCCTGCGCCTTTTCCCTCTGCTTACAATACCTTTTCCCTCCTCTTCCCTGCTAATTTTTCATCTTCATCTGAAATGTCACTTCCGCAAAGAAGCCTTCCTGGAGCTCTGAGGCAGGAGCAGGGTCCCTGACACACACTCTCAGGGTACCTGGTACTTTTCCCTCCTGGCACTCACACAGCTTGCCATTTTTAAGTCCGTGTGACTATTTGATTCATGTCTGCTTCCTACTGGGCTGGAAGGGCTGTGAGGGCAGGGCTTGCATCTGTTTCTGTTTAGACTGCATCTCAGTGGCTAGCACAGTTCCTGGAGTGCCCCAGATACTCAACGAGTACCTGTCAATCAGGTGCTGAGGATCCTGGCCTCGAGAGGTGGCGCGGCACAGTCATCAGGAGCTAGAGTATCTGGGTTCAAATCCTGGCTATGTTTCTGATTTACTATGTGACCTTGAGCAAATCTCCGTCTCAGCTTTCTCCTCTGAAAAGGTAACTACCCAGAGAGTTGTCCTGGAAGTCACCTGAGTGATTTAGTTCACTGCAGCGCATGCAGTCACAGTCTATAAATACTAGCCTTGATTATATCATGTAAGGCGTGTGTCGGTGGTTCTTAAGCCTTCACCTCGACTGTCATGCCCATTAAGGGGAGGACTTAGGTCCAAGGCCCTTTGTTACCCACAGTAACCTGGCAATGTGCAGGTACTGGGACATATTTGCCAACAGCCTGACCAACTGGCTAATGCCTGCTTCTCTCATCTTCCAAACAGGAGCAGGCACACTCCTCTTTCTTTCTTCTCTCTCGCTCTCTCTTTTCTTTCTCTTTCTTTTTTCTGAGACAGGGTCTTACTCTGTTGCCCAGGACGGAGCGCAGTGGTGCAATCATGGCTCACTGCAGCCACCACCTGCCAGGCTCACGCAATCCTCCTGCCTTAGCTCCCTGAGTAGTTGGGACTACAGGCACATGCCACCACACCTGGATAATTGTTTTGTAATTTTTTTGTTTTAGAGATGAGGTCTCACTATGTTGTCCAGGCTGGTCTTGAACTCCTGGGCTCAAGTGATATGCCCGCCTTGGCCTCCCAAAGTGCCGGGATAACACACCTTCCTTTTCTAGTTGACAAATTTCAATTTATTTGTCCTGGCACAATTGAAATGTGACCTCCTCCTGTCCTGGCAGGGTGAGCCACTTCTTCTCTGGCTTGTACTGCACCTTGGGCATGGGCACTCATTTGTTCATGGATTCAGGAGACATTTATTAAGTACCTACGGTTATGCCAGCTCTGTGCTGGGCACCTACAGTTTGGCAGGTGCCTGGCTTTCCCCCCAGCCAGTGAGTTCCCCTGGGGTTAAGCCCGTGTTAAGTGGCCACTGCCTGGCCCCGGGAGGACCTAGTGGAGACAGATATACCTTGTCCAGGTCCAGCTTGCACAGGAGAACAGGGGATCTGGGGCCCTCCACTCCTTCAGCTCCCCCAACTGGCTTGCCCACTTCTCGGATGACCTGTGAAGAGGACACACAGCTGTGAACGGGTGGGCAGGGAGGCTGTGGCTACAAAGGAAGAATGGGGTTTATGTGGTGAATGGAGGGTCAGGGCCACTGTGGGGAAGAGAGGGGCTGACACAACACCAGCACATGTGTGGGGCACATCAGGGTTTGTAAAGGCTTTCTCCCATATCTGTCCCCTGGGTTGAAAAGATACAAGGATAGGGACCAAGAGGTTTACTGCTACTTAGTTGTGTGGTCTTGGAAGAGCTACTTCCCTGCTCTGGGCCCTAGTGTCCACATCTGTAACATGGGAATGACACTAGTCCTCTGCTTCCCTCCCTGGGTTACCTGAAGACAGTGGGACCGTGGATGTGAAGAGTGATGGGAGCCATAAACCCTCACAAGGGCGAGGGACCTGCTTCTGTGACCATGTGCACCTTTACAGCAACCTATAGGGCGGCTGGAGTTATCACCTCCATCTCCTAAAGGCATCCACTCGCTCGCCAAGGCCACACAGCAATAAGCATGAGATCAGGAAATAATCACAGCCATCATTTGTTGCTCGCCTGTCTGGTGGCTTTTTGTGAAATTATCTCATTTTATCCCCTAGCAGCCTTGTGAGCCCTGAGTTACAGCTTAAGGATGATGAGCCTTGTAGAGGGAAAGCCACCTGTTAGTTGGGCAGCAGAGCCAGGAACTAAATGCAGGCAGGGCGGCTGCCCACTGTTAACCTCTGGGCTAACGGCCACCCAGGATCGATGTCAAGGCAAGTCTCTTTTAACTCCAGTCTAGGGCTCCGTGTGCCGACCCAACCAGCCCCTGTAGTGTACAGGCTCCCCCAGCAGGCAGGTTCTCTCCCTTCCTTCCCTCCGGAGACAAAAGAAACACCAACTGTTCCATCAGGAGGGCCGGTTATCACAGGAAGGAAGGGGCTGGGTGGGGAGGGAGGTGTTTGGTTTCATTGTTCCAGCAGGAAGATCAGAGGAAGAGAGGAGGTGTCAGGGTGAAGTAGAGGCAGTGCAGGGATAAGGGAATATGGGTGGGGCATTGCTGTCATCCAGCAGTAATTACTGACAGTTACTACGCACTCACTGCCTGGCAGGCACTGTGCCAAGTGCTCTCCAGAATCCTTCCAAGGACCATTTCACAGATGAAAAATACAGGCACAGAGAGGCAAAGTCATTTGCAGAAGGTCACACAACCAGTAAGTGCCACTTAGGCCTGGGGCTTGAACCCAAGTGTGGGTGCCACAAAGCCCCTCCTCCCATGGCATCACTATGGCATCCTGCCTATGGCCTTTGGATTTACTTCTTAGCTTCAAATCCACGCTCCAGGCACTTTGGTTGTGTGACCTTTGGCAAATCACGTAAGTTCTCAAAGCTGTGTCTTAGTTTCCTCATCTGTGAAATGGGGACAATAATATTTTGTCCCACTTTGAAGCATAAATGAGGTCATGCAGGTAAAGTTCTTGGCACAGTGCATGGCACAAAGTAAGTGCTCATTACGTGGTAACTCTCATTGTTTCATGTCGCTGCAGAGGCAGAAGCTGGCCCATGGGTGCTCATTACAAGATGTACATTTCAGGCAAGGAAGGATTTTTCTTTGTTGTTGTTGTTTTAAGAATTCGCTTGTCGAATGATGCAATCAGCTTCTTTTGTAGATACTAAGTTCCCAGTTCTAGGAGGTACACAGTGCAGGCTGAACAAGCCCACAGTAAGGATTTGGAAAGGGAATTCAAATAACTAAAAGGAACACAGGCCTCCAGCATGAAGTCTGCCTCTTGGAGATATCTGAGGCCCATTTCCATACATAAGCTGTATCCACGCACAGGGCACTTGGGCTCAGCTACTGAGCAAGGGTTCTCCCAGGGACAGGAGCCAGCTCTACTGAGGGCTGGCTTGGGGAAGAGAGAAAGGGCGGGAAGGCGGGAGTGTCGAGTGCAGGCCACACACCTTCAGCCACTCCTCGGCCTGCTCTCGGCTCTGCAGGGCCAGCACCAAGACCTCGGTAGCCCCCTGGGTGAAACGCAGCTCGTGCCTCTTGTGCCGGCTGTCCTTGGGCACGTAGATGACGCTGCAGGCATCCAGAGCCAACCTTAGATGCGGCTGCCGGTCCTTGGAGCTTTTGTAACACTGTACAGGGAGAGAAAGGCATCAGGATCTTCTGAAGTAGAGGGTACAGGAAGGAGACATCCTCACACAAAGGCTCCGGGGGAGGCCCGACCTCCCTTTAGAGACTTCCACCACCCAGCTGGACCATTCAGCTGAAGGGTCCAGGCCATTCACCCTGAAAGAGAAGCCTGGTGGGAAGAGGCATCTTTGGGTAATCTTCAGTCACAACTACCTATTTAGGAAGAGGCAGACTGTAGCACAATCCTAGGAAGACCAGGCTAGCCTAAAGAACTAGAGAAGAAATGGGCTGGCTTGGGAGGAAGCCAATTAAAAATCTACCTGGCAGGAACTTGGGAGACAGAATTCTAGAAGAGATGGAGGATTGGCCTTGGGAAGTCAATCGTTTATGAATAATGACTCTTACTTCCCTATTTTTTTGGTAATGAGGCCAGCATTACCTTCATACCAGAACCTGACAATAACTTTATGAAAAAGGAAAATTACAGGCTAATTTCTCTCATGACACAATTGCAAAAGCACTGGACAAAATACTAGCAAATGGATTCCAGACGTATATAAAAAGCAGCACCATCAAGGAACAGTTTCGTCTACAAACAACCCACAGCAAACGTCATTCTTAATGGTAAATTATTGTTATTATTATTTTTAGAGACTGGGTCTTGCTTTATCACCCAGGCTGGAGTGCAGTGGTGTGATCACAGCTCACTGCAGCCTCAAACTCCTGGGCTCGAGCAATCTTCCTGCCTCAGACTCCTGAGTAGCTGGGACTACAGGTGGATACCACCATGACTGGCTAATTAATTTTTTTTTTTTTTTTTTTTTTTGTAGAGATGGAGTCTTGCTTTGTTGCCCAGGCTAGTTGTGAACTCCTAGCTTCAAGTGATCCTCCTGCCTCAGCCTCCCAAAGTGCTGGGATTATAGGCATGAGCCAACATAACCAGCCTTAACAGTAACTTCCCTTTTGAACTCTAGACTGAGACAAGGATGTCTGCTCTCCCACTTCTGTTTGCATTGTGCTGGACGTCCTAGCCACTCTAATATGTTGAGAAGAATATAGAAGGTGTAGGAATGGAAAGAGGTTTGTCATGTCTCTTGGACTGGTGCTGTCTTGGAGTGAGAAAAGGCCATGTTTCAGATGCATACATGTTGAGCAAGGCTTGCCAACAGATCTCTGGGGAGAGGAACTACTCTTTCTGAAATCATGTTCATTGTCTTACTTTGCAATTATAGGAGCTTTTCCTTTTATGACATGATAAGCTGAGAGATGGTAAATATAAAAAAAAAACCCCTTTTTAAAAAAGCAAGTAACAGAACGATGAGTCTTATAGGGGGTTCCTTTGGTAAAAGACAGATGTTGGAAATGAGGGTGGAAATGTGTGTACTTAATAGCGGTTTTCTCTTGGTCAATGACATTATTGACCTTTGGTCAGTAGTTTTTTAAACCACTTTTCTTTTGTTTTTCTGTAGTTTTATAAATAAGCACATTTACTTGCATAACGTAAAACAACACAGATTTAATGATACATTTTTTTGACAAAACAAAAACATGGTAAAGCCTATATCAGGTCTTTTTTTTTTGTTTTTGAGACAGAGTCTCACTTTGTTGCCCAGGCTGGAGTGTAGTAGCACCATCTCGGCTCATGCAACCTTGGCCTTCCGGGTTCAAATGATTCTCCTGCCTCAGCCTCCCAAGTAGCTGGGACTAGAGGTGTGTACTACCATGCCTGGCTATTTTTTTGTATTTTAAGTAGAGATGGGGTTTCACCATGTTGCCTAGGCTGGTCTCAAACTTTTGACCTCAAGTGAGCCAGCTGCCTTGGCCTCCAAAAGTGTTGGGATTACAGGTATGATCTACCGTGCCCAGCCGAGGTCTTTAAATTAGAGAAACAGAGGGGTGGGGGGGGAGGGAGAGAGAGAGAGAGAGAGAGAGAGAGAAAGAGAGAGAGAGAAAGAGAGGGAGGGAGGGAGAGAGAGAAGGGCTGTGTGTGTGTTTAAATTCTGCTCCAGTGGGGAAAGTCCTGTTCTCTTAGGAGCATGGCGGCTTTGAGCTTCTGTGCACAAAGTCAAGCCGGTTATGCCCAAGGCAGACACATCCACATGTATGTAGAGACCTATCCGTATGCAAGACCACGTGAGGCCAAGAGGCGCACGGTTGCTGCTGACCACTCACCAGGAGCTGGTCCTCCCTGATGACCGTCAGCTGCTTGGCCCACTGCCCGAAACGTTTTTTCCGCAGCAGGAAGGCACATATCCTGCATTCCCTCACCAGGTGCATGGAGGCCTCCTCTGAGGGCCATTGGTGTCGGGGCTGCAGGCTCTTCCCTTCCTCCTCCTCTTCATCATAGGACTCATAGGAGCTGCTCATTGCGTCAGAGTCATTGTCTGCAGGCGTCATGGGAAAGTTTCGTCACTGTGCCATCCTGGGGAAGCACTTTCTCACCCCTCTGAAGCCATCCCTGTGCTGGGGCCTGGGGTTAGGAAGGTGTGGGCATAAGGCATGACACTGATAATAACTAAGACCCCTACTTTTTTTTTTTTTTTTTTTTTTTTTAGATGGAGTCTTGCTCTGTCACCAGGCTGGAGTGCAGTGGTGTGATCTTGGCTCACTGTAACCTCTGCCTCCTGAGTTCAAGTGATTCTTCTGACTCAGCCTCCCAAGTAGCTGGGACTACAGGCACCCACCACCACACCTGGCTAATTTTTTGTATTGTTAGTAGAGACAGAGTTTTACTATGTTGGCCAGACTGGTCTTGAACTCCTGACCTCAGGTGATCCACCCGCCTTGGCCTACCAAAGTGCTGGGATTATAGGTGCGAGCCACTGCACCTGGCTGGCCCCTACTTTTGCACTGTGTTGTGCTGATTTATCCCTTGCTTTGCGACTTGGTTACTTCCCTTCTCAGAGCTTCATTGTCCTCGTCAGTTAAGTGATCAGAATAACTGATAGTCCTACTTCAGCTGGCTATTTGAAGACCAATGCATGGGCAGCATTTAGCCAAGTGTTTGGCACCCAATAAATACTCAATAAATTTCTGCTATTGTCATTACCCCTTCATCTTGACCTCTCTTGTCTCTGGTTTTTCTCACAACAACCCAGCAAATCTCCATTTTATAGATCAGGAAACTAGAGACTCAGCGAAAAGAAATTACTTACCTAAGATCAGACTAAGAGTCAGGGAAAGGGTTAGATCCAGGCCTCCTGACTCCCATTCCAGTAGTCTTTCCACTGAGTGCTGGGGTCACTCATAACAAGGACTTTTGGGCCTCTCTGGTGAGGCCCATGGCCTGGGTGAGAGGCTGGTGGGCACATGCACGTGAAAGGACAGGGCAAGTCCTGCTCTTTGCAAGGGCAGAAGCCCTGCCCAGCATCTGGACACCCACCCGGTACTTACAAGAGCTCTTAAGCTCGCCGTTCACCCTGGTTGCTGGGTAGCTGCTGTCAGCATCCTCATAGTAGCCATCCACAATCGAGTGGGTGGGGCTGTAGCCATCTGTGGATTGTCAGAAAGCTGTATTTTGGAGAAATGCAGGCAGACTCCAGGGGGGCAGGACTAGGGGAGACCCTGACACCCACGCTCCTCCTCAGGGAAGAGACAGCAGGTGTCTGAGCAGCTCTGGCCAGGGCATGAGGCCTCTTCTCTGTGTCTCATCTGTTCTAGCTCCCCACAGTCCCTCTGCTCCTGTCACCAGAAACTGCCCTGCTGGGCTATCGTATCTCCCGGCCTGTGTTCATGTTGTTCCCTGTGCTCTCTTATCTTCTACTGAGGACTTCTACTCATCCGTTAAGACCCAGATCAAAGATCTTTCCTCTGACTTTCTTAGGCAGTGAGTGGTCAGCTCCTCCTCAGTGACCCCAGAGCATAGCATTGTGCATGGTGTGTGTGTGTGTATTGGTCACAGCTCAGATTTCTGCACTGCAGGGAGTGATGTGCCAGCTGCCTGGGCTGAGACCTCGCTCCCTGTTCCGCCTTCTCATCTTGTTCCACCTCAGCCCTTCCTCTCACTTCCTAATACATCTGCTCCCTCCTCTTGTGAAAATCATTCACCTTCTAAACCTCTGGGACTGCAAAGAAAACTGGACTAGAGGAGATAATATTGCACATAATAGTGATTGCAACAACGATCTGTGTGGATTTTCACAACTTCCATTTGGAGCTGGGAGGTGGTACGGTGCAGTGCCAGAGTTAGTGGGATGTCTCAAGCTGTATTCTGTGTCAGAATCACCTGGGAGTTGTTTGAAAATGCAGACCCTTGGGCTGTATCCTCAGAGATTCTGGTTCACTGGAGTGGGCTGGACTGAGCAATCTGCGTTAAAAATGACTAATAGGAAAATCCTAAACATACATAGAAACTATACTGAACTCCAATGAGATGGGACAAATTTATTTAATAATTATTTAGAAAGGTTATTTTGATGCAGGCAGTCCCTGGAACATACTTTGAAGTTCAGATGGTTAAGAGCATGTACTTTGGGATCACTCAGAGTTGAGTTCAAATCCTACCTTTATCATTTACTGAGTGACCTCAAAAAGAAACGTCTCTCCTCATTTCAGATTCCTGATGTGTAAAGTGACCTGAGCAATTCCCACCTTGGCTTAGTGATACAATGCATGTCAATACTCAGGACAGCGCCTGGCACACACAGCATGCTGAACAAATGCCAGCTGTTATTACTGTGATTGTGGTCTCCTGTGATTCCCACAAGGCAGGGAGGTGGATATCAGTTCCATTTGACAGATAAGAAACAAGCCACACACAGTTTGCTGGTGACAGAACCTGGATCAGAACTGAGAGTGCCTGCTCAGGGGATGGCGTACACCCCCCACTCCAGGAAGCCTTCCTTCACCCAGTCTAAGTCACTCTCATAGCACACTGCTCTTCAGAACGCTGCTCTGGGCTCCTAGCCCCCTCTGCACATCTGTTTCCTGAGGACAGCTGCACTGACATTCTCAGAGACTGGGACACCCAGTTCTATCTCCCAAGTGAGGCTCGGAGCCCACCTTTCTAGCAGGTACCCTGAGGCCTCAGACACTGGACATCTCTGGGAGGTGAACAGGGGTGTCAGGGTTAGAGGTGTGATGTAGGGAAGGGTGAGGGGGCATGGGAACACATTGCTAAGACACCTAGTAGGGCTGGATGCTGTGCGTGTGAGGAAGGATACTCCCTGAGAGGCTTGGCGTGCTCTCCCCGGACAGGGTTCCCTGCCCTTCCTGAAGCCCTCCCTTTCCTTCTGCCCCAGGATTCCAGCTGCTTCTGGGAGGTGGCTTCTCTGCCTTGTCTGAGAGGGAAGTGAGCTCTCTGGGGAGGTGAAGGAGCCCCATCTAGCCAATAGGCTTGATCTGGGATTTGAGGCCCAGCAGTACTTTGTCCCCCGTCCTTGAGTACGTAAAATAAAGTTACCGGCTTTATATCCCAACAGCTGTTTGCGGTAACACAGAACCTCAGACTATCAACGCGGAAGAGGGCTGTGGATTACCTGGTCCAAGCACCCCAGCCAAAAGGTGCAAACAGCCCAAGCTCCATCAGCTGAGGAATGGATAAGGACAAAGTTGTCTATCTGTACGGTGAACTAGTGTTCGGCCACAGAAAGGAAAGAGGTTCTGAGGTATGCTACAACGTGGATGAACCTAGAAAACATGCTAAGTGAGAGAAGCCAGACACAAAAGGCCACAGATTGTACGATTCCATTTATGTGAAATGTCCAGAATAGGCGAATCCATATGGACAGAAAGTGAATTTGTGGTTAGCAGGAGCTGGGGATGAGCAGGGGCCGGGGGTGGGATGGGGAATGGGGATAACTGCTTAGGTCATTCCCTATTAGGTGTCTGGGGTGATGACAACGTTTGGGGACTAGAAAGGAGTGGTGGCTGCAAACACTGTGAATGCACTCAATGCCACTTGTTGGACAGTTTGAAATCGTGGAATAGTTAATCTTACACGTATTTTACCGCAACAAAAAAATTCACCCACGGTAAAAAGCATAAACAGTAACACAAAAGAGTATGAATGAAAAAATATGTTCCCTTCACCCATAGTTCTATTAATTTCCCACAGGAAAATCCTATTAATAGTTCCTTGCATATCCTCAAAAAATTGTTAACATGGATGCATGCGTGTGTGTATGGGTGTATGTGTGTGTACCCTATTTTAAAAAACAAATGGAATTGTTGTATACAGTATTCTGTGTTTGATGTTTTCAATGACAAATAATAAAACAGATCTGTCTATGCTGATCTGTCTGTGCTCATCAAGCAATTCTCCTGCCTCAGCCTCCTGAGTAGCTGGGATTACAGGCACACACTACCACTCCCAGCTAATTTTTATATTTTTAGTAGAGATGGGGTTTCACCATATTGGCCACGATGGTCTTGATCTCCTGACCTCATGATTTAGAACTGATTAGATCAATTCTAAAATGAATTCATCAGCACAGACAGATCTATTTGATTATTTTTTGGCAGTTGGAGAACATTTCACTGTGCTGCTGAATGACAGAGTAGCAGCATACAAACGTTATCTTACACAAATTCAACTACTCATTCTGAGCCGTCCAAACACGAGCATATAGTTTCTTATATGTAATGTTAAGTTCTTTTACCCAAACAAGTGACTTCATCTGCTCTTCATTCAAAAGAATGTCCATGTGTTGCAGTGCTGGAGGAGACCAGTGAAAAGATCACAGGCTCTCCTTTATGGCCAGTTAAGAGATTTTCAGTGGTAACTTGTACCAGTGCCCACTAAATCACTGTATTGCACCCAGCTCCTAGTAAAAATATATACATATCTTTATTTTTGTAAGTTATATATGTATATGTAATTTTTTTTAAAACAAATATGCTATTATCAGAATATAAATACTACAAAACATTTACATGGAATTTATTAAAAGATGTGTTGAACTCAACAGAAGTAAAACTTCTGATATTTCTGCCTACATCATCTTATGAACCCCTGGGTCCCCCCACTCTACTCTGACAACCTGTGGTTTAGACCACCTGCTTTTTATTTTATGCATTGACCTGACAACCGAATCCACCTATAGGATGTGATTCTACTGAAACGATTTCACCACCCACTCTAGAGGAGCGCTTGGGTTGGCAGTTTCAGTAGGGGGAGCAGTATAGTGGTGGTCATCTGGGTAGCCGTCTCCTAGCACACTGACATGGGTTTATCTGGTTCCTCTTTTTTAAGGGTGGAAGAACAGAGATCCAGAGAGGGCAAGGGGATTTTCCAAGGCCACAGAAATCTGGGACTAGAACCCAAGCCCCCAGCCCCTGGGGCCACACCCAATGGTCCACCCAGACTGTCACTGAGGAGGCCAGGTGCCCAGGGAAGCTTCTCCTCAGCCAGTGGTGACATGGTTGGGACGGTGACAGGCTTGCAGCTCCAGCTCCCGCAGGACACAGAGGAACTTAGATCTGGCTTCTCAGGGAGGGGAAGTCCCCAGCCCCACCAAGGGGACCAGAACTTACTGTGGGAGCTGATGTACTCAGGGGCCTTGCCGGGTCCCAGAGGAAGGGCCTCTTCATAGTAGTCCTCAGGGGGAGGCTTGTTGGGGAGTGGTGGAGGCAGGTCGGCTGCCTGCAAGGGAACAAAAAAGAGGGCTAGGAGAGCAGAGCAGGGTGGGGAGAGGGGGGCTGAGGGAGAAGAAGGCAGGAGCTCGTGGAAGGCAGGAGGCAGTCTGAGTGTGAAGCCATACTTTTTAATAGAATTGCAGAGCTGGCAAAACCCTAGGGCATTTTTACCCAGTGCTTTTGAACCCAGTATTTTTAATCATCAGGGTTCCCCTGGAATGTCTGCAAGTTTTGTGGACTGCCAAAGAGTAGTAGTCAAACTATTTATGGAGCACATACAGAATTACCAAAAGCTACTGTGAGCCCTGCACTACTCTGTAACCACGTCTACACACACACGAGGTGCAGCAGGACAAGCAAGCGTGAGCCCTGTTCTTTAGTGAGGCAGGACCACCTGCGGCTGGGTGCTGAGCGACTGGGCCAGGGGAACCCTGGCTTTACAGCTAAGTTCTGCCACATGTGAGTTGTGGGACACGGGGCATATCACTCATTCTCTCTGAGCCTCAGTTTCCTCATCTGTAAAATGGGGATAACAATCATGCCAACTTCACTGAGTTGCTGTCAGCATGTAAAGGACTTAGGAAGTTGTTAGTGACTGGTACCATCGCTGGTGATGATACCAGTGAATTATACAGTTGACAAAGCTGCTTGTGATTATGAGCCCCTTGCTGTACTTCCATGGCCCCAAGGTTGGGCATCCTACATCTGGTCCAGTCTTTCATTCTGCAGGTGAAAAACTCAGGCTCAGAGAAGAGAAGCGACTTGCCCAAGGCTACACAGCAGTGTCGCAAGGCGGGCAGAGGTCACCCAACTCCTGGTCCGGAGCTTTTCCTATAGCCCGGCTTACGTTATGCAACAGAAGTTGGGGTGGTGATGTCCTTTGGGCCTGAGGGCACAGAGAATTTCACCACATTCCCCCTGCTCAGCACAAACACAGTGACTTCCCAGTCAGGAAGGTGGCAAAATACAAAATAAAAGAAACAAGGAAAATAACATACAGTGAACATGTCCCAGGCCATTGAAATATTCACACAGTGCTGCCTGTGCCCTCACCCAAACCGGAGAGAGACAACAGGGTCCGGAACTGCCAGGAGGGCACCCAGCATGAAGGGGAGAGCTTCCCTTGCCTCTTCCTGAGGGACAGAGGCCCTGAGGTATGGGAACCCAGGTCATGACTCACATTTCTCAGGCACGGGCTCTTGGCTGGCTCAGGGCTGGCTCCTTTGCTGGGCTCCCCCTCATCCTCCGGCATGTTCTGAAGGTCACTCAGGTCACAGTCTACACATGGTTAGGCCATTGAGCAGAGAAAGCCACGGATGAGCAGCCCAGCCCAGGGGAAGAGGGCTGGATTTGGGGTCAGGAGTCCTGAGTGTGAGATCAGGCTCTACCATCCCTCCATTAATAACCCTAAGCAGATGACTTAGGTGTCTGAAACTCATCTGTATGCTGGCTGCAATGATGTCTGCCTTGCCTGTCTTCCAGGATCGTAGGGAGGATCAAATAAAATCCTATTTGTTATGGTACTCTGGAAATCTTTGAGGGTTATGTTACGAAGGCACAGTGTGCTCCCTGTCTATGAGTCCCAGTACTCTCTCGCTGAGGCCCGTATCTTTCTTTTTTTCCTTTTTTTTTTTTTTTTTTTTTTTTTTTTTGAGACGGAGTTTCACTCTTGTTACCCAGGCTGGAGTGCAATGGCGCGATCTCGGCTCACCGCAACCTCCGCCTCCTGGGTTCAGGCGATTCTCCTGTCTCAGCCTCCTGAGTAGCTGGGATTACAGGCACACGCCACCACTCCCAGCTAATTTTTTGTATTTTTAGTAGAGACGGGGTTTCACCATGTTGACCAGGATGGTCTCGATCTCTTGACCTCGTGATCCACCCGCCTCGGCCTCCCAAAGTGCTGGGATTACAGGCTTGAGCCACCGCGCCCGGCCTGTATCTTTCTTTCTATGTCGAACAGGGCCGTCTTCCCTCAGGAAAGGGCTGGGACGGCAGGTACTCTGCGTGCAGCCATGCAAGCTCTCATTTCTGCTGAGCCACTGCACCGCTCAGCCTAGTGTCTCTGGTGGTGATCACCTGGGCGTGGCCGGCAAGGAAACAGCCATGGCTTCTCTGGGCTGCATGGCCATCCCGACCATTCCTCAAATCTCTAAGACGAATTCCTATTCCCATGCAGACTTTGATTAGACTTTCAGAGCTGGCAGAGCCCACAGGGGCCAAGGACTTGCCCAAAGCGAATTAATGATGTTAGAGCCAGGCCCAGCCCTGTCGTGGGACCCTGCCACACACACGGGGAGAAAGGGATGGCTCCATAGCTGAGGCTGGGAGAGGGTCGCTTACCAAATTCTTCAAAAAGGGACTCCACGAAGCTGGGCCCCGAGTGGAGGTCTGCTGTGTTCACATACAGGTAGGAGACCTCCTTTGCTGTGAGGACGAAGGGGGACACACCAGCTGTGAAGGTGGAGGGGTCAGGTCTCCCCCACCCCACTCCTATTTCCAGCCCACACGGGACACAGTGCTCAGTTTGCAAAGTGCATTCACGTCCTAAATTATTTCACTGGTTTTCGAACTTTCAGTTTTTATAGTGTTATTGAAGATCTCTTTCTCTAAGTAAAAGGATGCCCAGAAGCCCAGCGTGGAAACAGATTACTGGGGCTGCCAGGCTTACGTGAGGTTGTGTGTGTGTGTCGTGTGTCAGGTGTGGTGGATGTGTGTGGGGCACGGGAGCATGTAGAGTTGTGTGAGGGGCTGTGTGTGTTGCAGATCATGTATGTGCATGTGCGTGTGGAGGGCGGGGGTGAAGAAGTACAAAGAGCACAGCCAGGGCTGTCGGTGGGGAGGTGGGGCTCTGGCGGAGGGGGACACTGGGCAAGAGCATGCATAGAATGCATTGGTGGCTGTGTCCAGGGCTTAGCTTTCCTTCTGCAGCAGCCGCTGGGGTGGGGGTGGAGCAGACGGTCCCTGCATGTTCTGGAGTCGGGGTGAAGGGAGGTTTTCTTGTCCTGCATACGCGGCACTCTCCCGGGAAGGCTGCTGGTGGCTGACCTGGAAGGGGCTGCAGGCTCTGCAGGATGGAGGCCACGGCCATCTTCTTCTCCAGGGCAGTATCGCTGAGGTACTCGTGGTCCAGGAGGCTGAGCAGTCCAGTGAGCTCTGGGAGCAGCTGCTCCAGCACTGCGGAGGAAGGCAGATGGACACAGTCACAGCTCTGTGTCTGGGATCCTGGTCCCCACCTCCTAGAGGAGGGTGGCAGGGGAGAGAGGGCAGGTCCAGGTGCGCAGGCAGACCCGAGGGCTCTCAGCTGTCCCAGCACTGGCCACCCAGCTCCCATGGGAGGGTCCTGCTCAGGTAGTCTTGTGGTGTTTCTTTGAGTCTCCTCCCCACTCTACCTCAGATGGCCTTGGCCCAAGGACTGGACCTCCCCAGGCTCACCTGGCAACGCTGAGCCCAGGCAGTCCCAAGCAGTGGCTCTCAGGCCTCCCTCTGTTCCACATTGCCCTCTACTTTGCTGGACCAGGGTCCTTTCTCACTGCAGCTCAAAGCTCAGCACAGGTCTCAGGTCGGAGGCCCTAGCCATCCAGGGCACAGGCAGGAAAGGGAGCCTTCCTGTCCCATCAGTTGATGCGCTTCAATCTCTGGAACCTTCTGTTTCCGGTGCCTTGGCCACAGCCAAACTAAACATTAACCCTTCTCACTCCATGCTACCACTGCCATTCTTTCTTTCCATGTGACGCCAGTGCTTCTCAAACTTGAGCGTGTGTAAGAATTACCTGGGGATTTTGTCAAAATGCAAATTCTGGTTCAGGAGGTGTGGGGTGGGATCTGAGATTCCGCATTTCTGACCCGCGCCCAGCTGCAGCTGATGCTAGCGGTCCAGGACCATGCTGAGTTGCAAGAGCACAGAGTCCTTTAAGGACTGCGACGTGCCAAGATCATGATGTCATTGATGTCTCCCTGTCCCAAAAAGTAACTTGGGACTTGGTTTGCCTTAGAGCCAAACAGCAGCTTCATCACAGTAGTATTGTCCTGCTTTGCAACCCGCTTGATACGCATGCTAATAGAAGCTAACCTGAGCCGAACAATCATTATCAGTTGTGTTGAGCCCTTTTACATTTTCTTGTCTTATTTAAATCTCATATCAAGCAGTTTATTAGCTCCATTATATGGAGGATAAAACTAAAGCTCCAGGAGGTTAAATACCTTCTCCAGGATCACACAGCTAGCAAAGTCTACAGTGAAGCTGCTTTCTTCATTCTCTTCTTTTAACCACAGAGATATACTGACTCCCAGTATTTGCCTTGCTCCTACCAACAAGCTTTGAGGTAGGTCTCATGATCACCCCTCCCTTGTAGATGAAGCCCTCCCTAAGGCTCAGAGAATATGAATAACTTGCTTGAAGTTACACAGAGGCAAGAAGAAAAGCAAGGACTTCAGCTCCAGCCATGACTCCTAACTCCACGTGCTGTTCCCCACCCTGGGCCCTCCTGAGGGAACAGGACACACTGACCTGGAGCTGCAGGGCCTGGAGGTGTAGCAGGAGATACAGCTCCACACGGAAGACAATAGGCCCCGGAGCCAGATTGCCTGGGTTCAAATTCAGGCTCTGTCATTCATTAGCAAATCACTTAACCTGTGGGTGATTTAGTTTCCTCCTTTAAAGGGGGGATAGTAACAGCATCTGCCTCATAGGGTGGCTGTGAGAGTTAACGACACCAGGCATGCAAAGGGCCTTACCCGGCACAGAGCGAATGCTCACCAGAAGTCAGCTATTCTTGCTGTCATTGAAGAATTTACTGCACTGATCTGTGCTGATCCCTGAGTGCCTGCCTCCCTTGGCAGGCTGTGAGGCTCTAGGAGAAATGGACTGGACTGTGAATCTCTGCTTCCTTATCATCTAGTCTGGGGCCTGCTCAGTGTGGGTGCTCTTCATGTGTCTGACAAGAGACGAATGGACAGATGACACACTAGGACCTTCTTTTAAATATAAACCTGAGTCTAGATAGTGATCCTTGTTAGGAAAGCACGATGCTGCCGTGTCTCTGTGGCAACCCATCACCACCCAAAACTTGTTGACAATGAGCTGAAGGCCGATATGGGCAGCTCCTATCTCATGTGCACTCTCAGCTGCTGGGCACTGAGGGAGGAGGGGCTTTCTGTGCATTTTCCCATCCAATCCCCAGGGCACATCTGTGGATAGTCCAACTGGGACTGCCAATGTCTATTTTTCAGAAGATAACACCGAGGCTGGGGCAGCTATGGGATGGTGGCACAGCTTGAGAGGTGGAGCCAGGCTGATTCCAAGTCTGTGTGATCCCTAGGGATCAGAGTGGCAAAACTCTGGTGGGGGCGCTGCTCCCCTCCGGAGCTCAGGCGAAAGGTCCCTGGATATCCTGCAGCCTCCAGGGCCTGAGCCCCCGCCATGCCACATATACATGGGTTCTGGATGGATATGTTTCCCTCTTTAAAGCAGGTAATCATTTAAAATCATTTTAGCCAAACTTTAGCTGTTTTCAAGGAAATCTTTTCAAATGGAATCACAAACCTCTCTGGCGCCCTCAACAGACACACTGATATGGCTTGGCTGTGTCCCCACCCAAATCTCATCTTGAATTGTAGCTCCCATAATCCCCATGTGTCATGGGAGGGACCCAGAGGGAGGTAATTGAATCATGGGGTCAGTTATCCCCTTGCTGCTGTGATAGTGAGTGAGTTCTCATAAGATCTGATGGTTTTATTAGGGGCTTTTCCCATTTTTGCTCGGCACCTCTCCTTGCTGCTGCCATGTGAAGAAGGACGTGTTTGCTTCCCCTTGATGGTAAGTTTCCTGAGGGTTCCCCAGCCATGCTGAATTGTGAGTCAATTAAACCTCTTTCCTTTATAAATTACCCAGCCTCAGGTATGTCTTTAATAGCGGCATGAGAACAGACTAATAGCACACCAAATGTTGGTTAACTCAATTCCGAAGCATTTACTGGGCACTAATTATGTGTCAGCCTGGTCCCTGGGTAGGGATTAGAAAAAATAAATAAGAGATTGTTTCAATTGTCCCAATGAACATTCTCTCGCTGTCTCTTTTTTTTTTTTTTTTTTTTTTTTTTTTTTCTTGAGACGGAGTTTCGCTCTTGTTGCCCAGGCTGGAGTGCAATGGCGCGATCTCGGCTCACCGCAACCTCCGCCTCCTGGGTTCAGGCAATTCTCCTGCCTCAGCCTCCTGAGTAGCTGGGATTACAGGCACACGCCACCATGCCCAGCTAATTTTTAGTATTTTTAGTAGAGACGGGGTTTCACCATGTTGACCAGGTTGGTCTCGATCTCTCGACCTTGTGATCCACCCGCCTCGGCCTCCCAAAGTGCTGGGATTACAGGCTTGAGCCACCGTGCCCGGCCCTCTCGCTGTCTCTTACACACACATGTCTTCTCCCTCATAGGTAACTACTCACAAGCGAGGCCACAGCAGATGCAAGAAGGCAGTTGCGGGTGGCCTGGGAACACTCCTGTGGCCTGCAGCCACGACTCACATTCAAAAGCACATGATATCTCTCTGCTTTCCCACAGGATGTTATGGCTCAGGGGTGCACTAGACTGTTTATCCCTATACCAGTCATTCTGGAACTTTTTGCTATCATGGTCCTTTTATACTTTTAAAAATTATTGGGGCAGGTGTGTTGGCTCATGCCTGTAATCTCAGTATTTTGGGAAGTCGAGGTGAGCCAATCACTTAAGCTCAGGAAATTGAGACCAGACTGGGCAACATGGTAAAACACCGTCTACAAAAATATACAAAAAATGAGCTGGGAGTGGTGGCATGTGCCTGTAGTCCTAGCTACTGAGGAGGCCGCGATGGGAGGATCGCTTGACCCTGAGAGGTAGAGGTTGTAGTGAGTCCTGACTGTGCCACTGCACTCCAGCTAGGGTAAAAGAGCAAGACCCTGTCTTTAAAAAATTGTCGAGGGCCCCAAATTGCTTTTGTTTTCTATGAGTTGTATCTATCAATATTTACTGTATCAGCATTAAAACTGAGAAATCTATGAAACCTAAGAACACACAGATACTTATCCCACTAGCCTTCAAAATTACCCCTTCATCACCAGTTGTGCTTGGAAAACTCCACTGTAAACTTGTCGAGAATAGGAGCCAAAAGGTATATAATGTCAGTACTACATAGAAGTTGTTTGGACCTTACAACCCCCTGACAACACCTTGGGGACTGCCCCCAGGCAGCCCCCTCATCCCTAGCTGCACTTTAAAAACTGCTGCCCCCCAATGACTAATTGCTCAACTTTTTGGGTTTTTTAGATCTGTCCCCCTACCTTTTTCCTTCCTTCCTCTCCCCTTCCCTCCCTTCCTCTCTCCACTCTCCCTTTCTTTTTTCCTTTTGTTTTTCCCTCCCTCTCTTCTTTTGTTTCTTTCTTTCCTTCTATCTCTCTTTCTTTTTGCTGTGAGGTTCCAACAATTTCTTGTTGCTATCAGTAAATGCCTAAGTGTGGCCCCTTTCTGGCTTCTAAATGCTATACTGTTTCTACTTTAAGGTTTGCTACAGTTGTTTCCAAAGTAAGAAGGGTTAGGTGCTGTGTGAGTGCTCTGCATTTAAAAACCTGAGCTTTAGCACCCAAGCTTTGTAATACCTTGTTTCCTTCCTGGTCTTTGATGAGATTTTTAACACTGGACCTTGACATCTAAGTGCTCTTCCTTTAACTGAGATTTGATCACCGAAGTTCAAACAGACCAAAGGAGAAGAAAGGGATTGAGTGCATCTGAGAGAAGCAGACGGACAATGAGGGGCTGCCAGGCCTGGTGGGGTTTCTGAGACCTCAACAGATCTGGCAGGCAGCGGGGGCAGAAGGAGGGGAACATGATGCAAAGCGCAGCTTGCACTGAACCTGCCAGAGTCTTTCCCTGGAACTGAGCAGTGACCCTGAGCTAGGCAGTTAATGCACATTATCTCATTTAATCCTCCAATGCTCTACAAAGGAGGAAATGGAGGCTCAGAGAAGTGAAGTTATTCAGCCGTAAGCAGTAAAGCCTGGCCTTGAACCCCTGCCTGTCTGACCTTGCACCTGAATGCTCCATCAGAAGACTTCAGCTCAGCTCAGTGCAGCAGAGGTCAGCAGAGGCTGGGCTGGGAGGAGGTGGGCAGATGTGAATACTGGGCTTCCTCACAGCCCTCCAGTGGA